TAGGCCTTATAATTAAAAAATTTTCCAGCTATTATTTAATAGCGTAATAAAAATAATAAATATCTACTAAAGTTTATTTTCTGCATGTAATTATCTTTGGATAAACGAATTTTAAAATTATGTTCAAATTTTTTTTAACTCGCTTAAAAAGGTCTCTATGTATGGCGAAATATGCAAAATAAAAAATTGAGATAGAGGCATCCAAACTTTGGATCACTCTCATGATCAAACTATAGGGACAATATTCCTCAGATTGTGGCTACCCCCTATAATTTGGGGGTTCAAAATCTGAATCCGTCGGAAAAAAGAGATGTTTATTCTGAAAAAAACGCATTTTAGTGTTTAATTTCGCAACTTAAATAATCAAATAAGACGCTAATTAATTAATTAGCATATTTGAGATCACCCCTTCGAGAAATTAAGATTGAATTATAAAACATGAAAATTCAATCATTAGATCAAAATCTATTCAGGGTGGTCTGTCTTTTATTTTGTACACTATGCATCGAGTTCTGTGAACAAAATGTTCTTAAATTCACTCCAAAGATATGATGTAAAAAACTGTGGGTCTAGGTTTTGAATCCACCCAGCTTTAGAGCGGGTACCAGCTTGTCAGGGAAATAAAGGCGGTAGGTGCATAATGCTGATTTTATTTTCACCATCACTTCTCTTTAGTCATAAATCGTGCAGTCTTAATATCAATGACCCTCTAACTCACAATAAACTGTTGGGCGAATTTTTTCTGTACATAAATATTTTAAATAAAATTCTCGTCGCGCGGATATTTTATTGCTATACCATAATTAGGTTTGCAATAAGATAAAATGAACGAGAGAAGGCCACACATTTTAAAGGAACCGCAACGCATAGGACCCCTAAAGCCAAATTCGAGAAAAAAAATATGTTAAAAAATATTGAAGAGTCAATTTTAAACTCCAGATTCAAATTTTTAAATTTTCATTCATTGTTTTAATGAGATTTTTCGAATGAAAAGTTTCTAAAAAAGAACTATTGCTTAGACTTGTGTCGAGAAACCTTTAAAAGAAAGTTTTCGTATTGTACTTTCGCAGACCTTAAAAAAGCAATCCAAAAACATGGTCTTATGCTCGTTTATTTGCTTTCCTTTAAATGAGGTCCTTTGCAAAATATTTTCCTATTATTTATTAATATTTTCGCTGAAAAGGTTAATACTTGCTTTATTTCGTTTCCTTTGAAAAAGGTTTTCGCTTAATATTTCTGCCAACCTAATCATGACAGCAAACAAAAATGCAAAAAATAAGGGTTACAATTTGCTTGTTTTTTAACCAAAATAACAATATTTTTTAAAAAAGATTTAAAAATCATTTAGTTTTCCTTTAAGGATGAAAGGTTGGAAATTGCAATATTTTTACGACATTGAAAAAAGGTTTTTACCGCAAACCTTTTCGTGACAATGAAAATAAAGTTAAAACACAAGGTTGTCGTAAGGTTACATGCTATCTGGGATATATATCAAGACGGAAAAGAGTTAAAACAATAAATTTCATTTTTAGCTTCTTTGCGGGAACAATAAAATATCAATAACTACTAATTTTTTTTAACGGATACAGTTTATATGTTGAATTGCTTCTTCCCCGAGAAAAAATTTCCAGCTATGAATTGTTTATTGTTAAGAATAGATTTACTTCTCCCGAAAATTATTTATTATTGAGTGGTTCAACAACCAGTTTTTTTTTTCTCTTTTTCATCTCGCTTTCCGGCTTGGATGCCCTGTGTGTACCAGCGCCATATTTAGCTGGCATTTACGCGATACCCTGTGTTTACGAGAGCCATATTTAGCCGGCATTCACACGATGCCCTGTGTATATGAGCGCCATATTTAGCTGGCATTCACACGATGCCCTGTGTATATGAGCGCCATTTTTAGCTGGAATTCACGCGATGCCCTGTGTGTACGAGCGCCATATTTAGCCGGCATTCACGCGATGCCCTGTGTATATGAGCGCCATATTTAGCTGGCATTCGCGCGATGTCCTGTGTCCGAGCTGTGTATTTAGCCGGTGCCAGCGTTATACCCTTTGATAACTTGCTCAATCTGCTACGAATTGCCACTGGCTAATATTCCATTGACCTAAAATGGATTAATACTACTAAAAGTATATTTTGAATGCGTTTCATAAGTCAGATATTTTTCTTCGGTTTATGAATCGATAAAGAAAAACGAAATAAAAAGTGTCGTTCGCTGTGCACAGCAAACGAGAAAAGACTAGATTCTAAGCATGGATATAATAGCTATGTGAGTTTATGTGTCCACCCTTTTTTAAAAATTGATTATGCTGAATTAAATGACCAAGAAATTTTTGAATTATCCTCAATTGCATTTTTCTTTGTAATGCTCGCAAAATCTCCAAATATTTTATTATATAACACTTAAATAAGAAAATTAAAACATTTACTCATTTGCCCCTTATTTAGATATAAATTTGACTAGATAAGTATTTTTGAGAGCTTATTTATTTTTTAATAATTAGAAAATTTAATTAAATTTTAAATCACAATTGCGCACATTTACGCCATCTTTTTGTATTAACTACGTTTATAAGTTTAAAAGTTAATATTTTAGCAATTATTTTAAATGGATTTAAGATGACAAAAAAATAATTGACCAAATACAAATAAACATATGTTATAAGTTTTAGAAAAAAAGTTTTATTTTCTGCTTTTTAACCCTTTCGAAGGCCGTGGTAANCACTTTTAATTTAGGTTTCCATTTTTCAATAACTTCAGCTTTCTTGAAGTGAGTTTGAATAAAATTGGTAACCATTTGTCACTTTTAAAAAACGTATAAAAGTTATAAAATACATAATTCCTTTTGAAGTTTGTAGCATTTAAGGAATTTATTTTATAAATAAGGAAAAATAAAAGTCAGTGAGTTCCTAATAGGTCATGTTAAATATATTTACCACCGAAAAAAATGGCATTTTTATAAACTAAATGAGTTTTTTCTTCTTTATATCAATTACTGTTCTTAAAGCAATTTCAATTCCAAAAATACTTTAATTTACCTTTACTAGAAATAAAGGGTCCATTAAAGCGTTAAATAATCTATATTTATTTCTTAACCCATGAATTTGATTTAAAATTTATGAAATCTGCTGTAGTGGGTGGATGAGGAATACATATTTACAAAGATGAAATTCGTGATCTTACATTTTAATAGTAGAAGATCAAAATCGATTAAGATAGCATGCGGGGACGTCACAATTGCCGATGAATGTGAACTAATGCTGACTCGTCAAGTTAAAAGGGCTCCACTTTGTTGAAACATTAACATTTTTTTCTCGCTTAGTAGCTCCATCTGTCGGCGAACTTTGAAACTAATTTTGGAAATTTGTTGAGAATAAATTGTTTAACAGAATGCACAAAAATATACATATTTTTCATTTTTCTTTATTTAATTTCCCAGAGCCGTGATGGCTCAGGGGATAAAGCGTTTCCATTCAAATGAAGTGAACCGGTTACGAACATCAGCGATAACTAGTCGTTTCGAATCCCGCACCCGGCTCACAGTGCTGAAGTAAAATATCCTCAGTGGTTGGCGGATCATGGATTAGATTCCCCTTGCCATGAGCAGAAATTGCAAAAGCCTTTCGTAGAAATGTTATAGTTTTTACGAAAGTAGCCTAGATCGTAACATTATTCACATTTAAATTTTTATCAGTCACAAATCAGTGATAATTACATGTAAAATATTTTAATAATAAAATACAGTTATTAGGTTACTTATATTAATTTACTGGTATTGGTATATTTGTGCAGTAAGTGCTGAAAAATGATTATTTTTGCTAGGTCTGAAAGTGGTAAGATTTAGGAAACCGGTTCCTAATTCGTACAACTTGCTCCCTAGATCGTACCTACCTGAAAAATATGGATTACAGTATACTCTCGATATCTGGAAGTTGAAGGGACGCTAGAAAAAATTTCGAGATAGCGAGTTTTCAAGACAACAAGTTTAGAACCAAATATTTTTTTTTTCCTAATGGCAGGCACTGAATTTGAATCTTTGCCTATACTATGCCAGAATTGTTGCTCATTTCGCGTTACCCAGTGGGCACCTGTGAACCAAAGTCACGGGGGCGAGCAACATTGCCTGTCAAATGTTGTTAATACAATTCTAATGGAACACAAATAGTTCTTTCATATTCATTTTATTTATAGTATTTACAATGAGATTATTTCTGGATTAATATAGTTCATCTTTTAAGCATAACAACTCTTTAGCTACACAGCCATTGCAACAACAACTTATATCAAAGACAACAATCAATCAATAATGGTACTGTTGCCAACACCAACTTACAATGTACAGAATTATCATGACATCCCCCTTTTTACGTTATACAATTATACAACATAATCATTTAAATAAGATGGTGACTTACGAACACGATTACTTTTTCTTTGCACATTACTATTTGATATATGACAATTCTGTGAGATTTGAGAATTTGAAGAACTGTTTAAATCAGCTTGGGAATTGCTAATTATATCATCATTAGGATCTATTTCAATTTTAAACTTTGTATTTGACTGTCTTATGTGTTTTCTGTTACGCCTGAAAACTCTACCAGAACTATTTCTAACATAATATGAACGAGGATAGAATTTATCCTTTGAAATTACTTCAGCAGGTTCCCAAGTCTTGTTTTTGAAATTTAGTATTCTAACATTTTCCTTTGGCTGAAGCTCTGATAGTGTATGAGCAGTTTTGTCGTAATGAGATTTTTGAATCTTTTGCCTTACAATTAACTTTTCTTTAATGTTACTAAACAATTTAGCATTTAACAGTCTGTTAGATATTGGTAGTTTAGTTTTTAATCTGCGATTAAACATCATTTGAGCAGGAGAAAGATCAAGGCCTGAAATTGGGGTATTTCTATACTCCATTAATCCTACAAAATAATCTTTCCTATCTTCCCTTGCCTTTCTCATAATGCATTTTACAATTCCTACCCCTCTCTCAACCNAAAAATAATTGAGAGAAATTTATCTTATATATTTGAGAATTGAATCTGTAGTGGTTGACAAGTAAATAAGGCAAACCAATAATATTCATAAATAAAATGCATTTCCAGTCATATATTTGCTAACACTTTCTTATTTTAACTATATTCTGTATTAAACTACTCGTTCGGTAAGTGGATATCCTTCACAGTGGTCTGATCGGACTACCTATAAAAAACCGTGTGGAGGCTTTCAATTATAGGAGGCGTTGTCTGATCGGACTACCTATTAAAAACCGTGTGGATGCTTTCAGTTATAGGAGGCGTTGGTTGGGCTCTCGTTCGTAAGAACGGGAGTGCGAATCCAGCTGATCGAAGGCTTCCCGTGTAGTGAATAATGACTGTTGCACGTTAAACTTACAGGGTACAAAGTCCCCCATGACCCCATAACAGATTATACCTCTCGGGGTCTTGAATTGGAAATTTATTGTTCTCTATCTCAGGTCAAAATTACGATCGATTACGATTTGTAGATGAATGAATGGATGCATGATTGAGTCCGCCCTTAACGGATGTGATGTATGGGCATGGCAGAAGTCAAATTCTTGGCCATAGATGGCGCCACTGGAAAAGAAGATCAATCGCACCCCTTGCTTTAATGGCCAACGGCAACAACAAATTGAATTCTCAATTCTTGCAGTCTTATTATGAGTCTTACTCAGAAAGTGAGATATTTAATATTGGGTGAAAGTTAGTCCAGAAATAATTCGCAGTCACTGTTAGACAGTTTGGGTGAATTAAAGTTTAAATGACTTGAAACCCGACCTGTTCAGTTGTATAAATCAAAGATCCCAACTTGTTCCGCTTTGTAAAAAAATATATTCTAATGGTAACGAAATGGAAGTTATTTTTAGTTTGATATTTTTCTGCCACTACATTTCAAAAATTCAAAGCATGATGTGAAATATAACTTTATTGCAGCTATCTCGTAGGAACTCTTTTAAAAAGAGGCGTAATTATCATTATTTTATAAGTTATGCTATTTAATTCGCTGTCGATTTCTTATAACTTTTGCAGAAAGCGGAGCAGTTAGCATCCCTGGTATAAATTGATATTTTGTTCCTAATCGTGCCGGTATGATTTTGGCAACTGCGTAACTTTTCAAACAAAGTGTTATTCCAAGCCTCAAATAATGGCTGAATGGAAGCTGCTAATGTTGACTGAATGTAAACATTAGCAGCTTCCTAAAACCGGAAGAAATTTAGAAAACTTCCGGTGTATCCTTCCGCTTATGTTATACTTACGAGGCGAAGTGTGAACAGGCTTAATATTCTAGGAAGTTTTATTACTGTGATTTGTATTTAAATTTACGCGTAATTTCACCATTCAAAAGAGTTTTAATAAAGTGTAAAAGTTGGCCACGTTTTGAGTGTTATCCCTTATTTTGCTATATTTGTGTAAAATAGTAATGTTTGTTATTTTTTGTATAGCATCATAGCAAGCTTGTGGAGTCTTCCGAATTCCTTTGTTATTTGTTTCGGTAAAAGTTAGATTGAAAATACGTGTTATATTGAAAACACTACAAGTTTAATAAAATTAAATTATGCTTTTTTTTTCAAGCTTAGGCGTAAAATTAAATCGGAAGTAGTAACCCGGAAATCTTACAACGAATTTTAACCCCTAGCGCCGTCTGTGTTTAGCTTTATACTGTCAACTATCCATAGTTAGCTGGCAAAGAAACAAGTAGGGCATTACAGAATAAGTTATGGCTCAAGGGATAGAGCCTTCGCCGTCCAATGAGGTGAACTGGGTTCGAATCCCGGCGATGGCTGGTCGTTACGAATCCACATCTGGCTTGCACTGACCACAGTGCTAACGTAAAATATCCTCAGTAGTAGACGGATCATGGGTTAGAGTCCCTTTGCGGTCAGGTTAACCGTGAGAGATTCTCGTGGTCTTCCTCTCCATGTAAATCAAATGCTGGTTAGTTCCATAAAAAAAAAGTCCTCCTCGAATGCGAACTTCTCCAAATACTTGATCTAGGGGTTCCGAAAAAAAGTTGAAGACAAAAAAATTACTATATAGCACCTGGAGTTCATTAAGAAAGTGATTACTGGACACAAAGCAAGAGTCGATTGTAATAAATAATCTAGCATTACACTTTAGATCTGCTATACACACAATATTCCAAAATTTCATGGGAAAATTTTAAAATTGATTAACCTAAATTAAAACTTACCGCAATTTATTTTTGATTGATTCTTTTGCAAAGATTTCCTCGTGAAAAAAGCTTTCTAATTTATCGGCTCGAACGCTCTTCACACCAGAGTTGGTCAACTGTTAGTCACGACTTCAATTAAGGTTGCGGGACCTAGAGCAGGGGTTGCCAAAATTTTTTTATTTTTTATTTTTCTTTAATATATTGTTTGTTCTTGTTGTCGTATCCCGTTAAGGCAAAGGGTAGTGCTTCTTGTTTTCCAGCGGCACCATTTATGGCCAGGAATTCAACTTCTACCACACACATACGTCGCAGCCCGTTTATGCAGCGGACATTTTCATACATCCATTCATTAATCCACAGATCGCAATTTTGACCTGAACCAGAGACTCGGCAATCTCCAATTCAATACCCCCAGAGGTATGATTTGTTATGGGACTATGGAAGACTTTGTGACCTGACAGATTTAACGTGTATCAGTCACTATTAACTATACGGGGTGTTTTCAGCTGGCTGGGATCGAAATCACGACCTATTAGACATGGACCGACCGAATGCCCTACCAACCAGGCTATTCTGGTACCTTTAATATATTTACACTGAAGAGCCAAAAAAAAAACTGGTACAGGCATGAGTATGCAAATAAAGAGGCCAATCAAAGTACAGCGCTGCGATCCGCAAAGCGTATATAAGACAACGAGTGTCTAGCACAGTTCTTAGATCGGTTACTGCTGCTACAATGCCAGGTTATACAGATTTAAGTGAGTTTGAACGCGGTGTTATAGTCGGCGCACGGGAGATGGGACATAGCATCTCCGAGATAGCAATGAAATTTGGATTTTCACGTACGACTATTTCACGAGTATACCGTGAGTATCGGAAATCCGGTAAAACATCAAATCTACGACATCGCTGCGGTCGGAAAAAGATCATGCAAGAACGATATCCGAAGATATCCCCACCCCCTCTTACTCCCTCTGGTTTATGGACAGCCCTGCAAGATTCATGGTGTCAATTATCTCCAGCACTACTTCACACATTGATCGAATCCATGCCACGTCGTGTTCCGGAACTTCTGTGTGCTTGCGGGGGTCCTAAGCGATATTAGGCAGGTATACCAGTTTTTTGGCTCTTCAGTGTATAATTACCAAATATTTTTACACAATTTGTCTGAAAATAGATAAAGATAAGACCTTGGCAAACAATACTCAATACTATATTTACAATACTATATTCTGGTGGCCAAGGATAAGACAATACAAACCAAAAACGAAAACGTTGCGACGCAGTTTAATAATTAGCTGTCTTTCTTTGGCTTGTATGTTCATAGTTGCTACTACATAGTGCGTAGCGTTTTTAAAAAGTGCTTTCGTTTTTTAAAAGCCCTTAAAGGTGCTTTTTTCATTAGGTGTTTTTAAAAAGTGTCTTATTTTCCCTTTTTCAAAATGTGATTTTTCCTTTACGATATTGATTTTCGCTACGAATTATGCAAAAAAAAAACACAGTTCATATTGTTCTATTCAACGTTTTCACATTTTATTCAACCCCGATCTATTTCGGCGTATTGTCGTAGTGTATGCAAACGCCATTCGTTTTACATGATTCAAAATTTCATGATTTTTGACAATTTTGAAACACAATGCAAAAGGTTTTTTTTTTGACATGACGGTTAAAACAATCTAAACCCGTCAATTGTCGAAAATTTTTCTACCCTGCCTAATTATGATATTTTTTAAAAGTGCTAAAAATAATTTTGAGTGCTTGAAAAGTGCTTATTTTTTGTTGAATAATTTAGCTACGCACCCTGTAAATTATATTTATGCATTTGCGGTTCCGCTAAAAGATGATCGATCGCTTAGGGTTCAGTAGCAGTAAAAAATTGGGAACCGCTGTCTTAACGTATCGCCTCATAACTGGAAATATATTATTGCCTGCTTCCTACTACGCCCTACGTTCCAGAGAAGTGTGGATGTTTAGTAGTCACTGGAGTGAATTCTAAAAATTCCTGATTCAGATAGTATTATACAATTGCATATAAACTGTAACTTGTAGAGAGGAACCGATTCAAATTTGAAATCAGCTATGCGAAATTATGTAATATTATACAACTGCATATAAACTGTAACTTGAAGAGAGGGACCGATTCAAATTTGAAATCAGCTATGCGAAAATATGTAATATTATACAATTACATACAAACTGTAACTTGCAGAGAGGAAACGATTCAAATTTGAAATCAGCTATGCGAAAACATGTAATATTATACAATTGCATATAAACTGTAACTTGTAGAGAGGAACCGATTCAAACTTGAAATCAGCTATGCGAAAATATGTAATATTATACAATTGCGTATAAATTGTAACTTGTAGAGAGGAACCGATTCAAATTTGAAATCAGCTATGCGAAAATATGTAATATTATACAATTGCATATAAACTGTAACTTGTAGAGAGGAACCTATTCAAATTTGAAATCAGCTATGCGAAAATATGTAATATTATACAATTGCATATAGACTTGTAGAGAGGAACCGATTCAAATTTGAAATCAGCTATGCGAAAATATGTAAGATCGGATAAACGATGACAAAAATTGTTCGACAGAAAATGATGTAAGATAAAAAGATGGGGAAAAAATTGATCCTCATGTATTATGACATTAGTTGAGTGACCTTATGTTTATGAAATGCCATATATTTATCTCTTAAAATGTATTTTAGGAAAATGCTGCAACATGATTGGTGTGCTTTGGTGGAATCTGTATCGTTCTTGGAGATGAAAGCATCTGCCAGCTTTTAGTAGGAAAATATTGTGTTAGCGTCCTACTGTCGCTTCAAATCATTCATCTATACCTAACTAATGTTGGGTAAAAACAAAACATAATTAGTTCACATTTTTTCACACAATTCATCAACGCAATATTTGATATAAAAAAATGAACTTTTTTAAAATACTATTTAAATAACTCAAAAACAGGACTGACATGAGAAATTCAAATTAGAAAGAACTGAGTAGTTTTTAAATTTTAGTTAAAATAGCAGTGCAGAACCTCTTGAGGACATGTTTTCTGGTTAGTAATGAAGAAAGAGGTTTAGAACTTTTAACATATTTCAGATAGAATTTGTGACTAAATGTTCAAAAAAAGAAGCAAATAATAAACTTACATTTTGAGAAATTGTTGAATTGGTCTATATCATGATGTTATCATATTTTTGTCATTAGTCACGATTTAAATGTCTGTAAATATAAATGTATTTATTTCAGTATCTAATAAATAAATTTTAGCATACAGCAAAATGTGTGTTTGAATCTCATTACTTATTAAAACTCGATCATTAATATCACATTTTCATTTACGATCCTAGCTCAATTAAAAACGTGTTATGTGTGTACGTGGTAGCATACAGCTAAGTAGTAGCATACAAATGTGTGTTTGAAACTCATTACTTTCTAAAACTCGATCCTTAAAATCTCATTTTCATTTATAGTCTATCACTAGAATTGTTTTAAAACGTGTTAACTATATATATATAGTAGCATACAGTTAAACAGCAGCCTAGATAAGCAGTAGAGCAGCGAAGTAGTACCATAGCTAATGAGTAGAATAGCTAAGTATTCTCCCAATACTGGTTAGAATCATGGGTTAGAGTCCCCTTGTATTCAGGCTAACTGAGAGTGGTTTTCTTGATTTTCCTGCCCTTGTAAAGCAAATGTGGATTAGTTCCCTCAAAAAGTCCTCCACTAAGGTAAATTTCACCCAATACTTGATCCAGGAGTTCCTTCATCTTCTGGATTAGGTTCAAAATTACAAGGCTACGANAATTACAAGGCTTCAAAGTTGAACATTAGTAGTCGTAAACCCAAAAATATTGGGTCGACTGTTCAACGACTTACTTATTTTTATTAATCAAAACTGGGCACTTGGGCCGCGCAGCGGCCCCTATCCAATACATCATGAAATAACTATATACATTAATTTAAAAGACTGTTCAACGTCTGTAATAAAATGTTTCTATGAATCCTTTTCCAAAAAGTAAAAAGTGGTAACTCAGATATTTCATTTTTGAAAATTATCTTGGAGAAAAAAGTCATTACTTTATCACCATATTTTATTCAATATATAAATATTTATGTTTCTATCTGTAATTGAACAGTTGTGCTACTTTTAAAACTTAAGAAGATTAAATACAAAATATTTTATTTGCTTGCCCATAAATGCCACTTCTTTCATGTAGCGTCTTAACTAGGTTAAAAAACATAAAATTTTGCATCAACTGAGACTTTTAAGAGTTGCCAGAATCAACCTTTTTACAAGATTAACTTTTTAATTCACCTGCACTTTGTGAAATATTTTGCAGAATACTGAGCATCTCTCGAATAATGGCTGCTAAATTTTAAGCTGAGAAAGATTTTTTTCCAATAGTAGTGTTTAGTTTTGGTACAAATGGTGTCCAACCTATGAACTTTTCTGAACGTGAGTACGTTGACGGTTTATTCTTGCAACATTTATAATAATATGTAAGCAGTATTTTATGCTTTCCCCGAAATTGAAGTTGCTAGAAATTACCAACTATTACTGGCGAAGCAAATATGCATCATATTTAAAATAACAAACTTATTGTTTCACTCATTTTTTATTTACTCTTTTTTGTTTAAATTGAAGTGAAATTGCTCATTACACTTTATCTTAAACTCTCTATCACCTTTTTATTTTTCAATTTAACGGTTCGATTTAACTTTAAACGTCTCATTAAGAAATAATTAAAAGTGCCTTAATGAATATTTGAATATTATATGAATATTTGAATTAATTAAAAGTAGTGGTGACCAACTAAACTTTAAATAAAATTTATTTACCCCAGAATCAACATAAATTTTTCAATTATTTCCACGAAGTGGAGCAAATTGCATACCTGCCAACTTTTAATCCCTTCCATTATGATTTTTCCCAGTGGCATTAAAATTGAATTAAAATTTCAATTTTAAGCAAAAAAAAGTACGTTGTATTTGAAAAAGCTTAAGCTGACAACCATGATAGTGACACATATTGATATATATGCTTAATTTTTGTTAAGAATAGTGATGATCAAAATCATTTAAAAATTAAGTTTATAAAAGAAGAAAATCATATATATTTACTACCACTTTAAATATAAAAATAAAATTTTACGCCAAAATGCGTAAAAGTTGGCAGGTTTGAAATTGGCATCTCTCCTTATCATTATTCTAAACACATCTAGTATTTTTTATTATTAAAATTTCAAATTTTATCTTCATTTTGAGCAATACATAAGTTAATTAGAATGTACACTTTTTACTAACCTTTAAAAATAGTTTGTTGTTTCCCAAATATCGGATACAAGTTTGATAACTCATAATAGTAGGAACACTAATATATAATATTTGATTTGAAATAAATTGTGCATAGAAAAGAAAGCACGAAAAATCATGCAAGCGGTCAACTTAGTGTTAATTGCTCGAGAATCCGAAAATTTTTGTTGAGTTGTGGCTCTTTTGGCGCGTCTTGGCGACATAATCCTTTAAGCTGTCATCCTTGATCAGTTGATGGTCAGAGAGCGGAAGGATTTACCTTTCAACTCTTCATTAAGGTAGGAAGATTTTTCGCTTTCGTTTTTCATTTGCTTCTTATTGGAATATTTTGGTATTGTCAAAAGTTACTTCCGATATTTTTTAAATTTTGGTGAAGTTATTTTTTTTTAAATTTAATTAAAAATGCAGATATTCTTGTTTTTATATTTTTACATTTATATGCACTAAAATTTAAAACTGATATGTGTATAGTTAACAAAAATTAAAAATGATAAACAAATTAAAGAAATAACATTTTAAAACATTTATGATGAATTTTTCACAATAAATAAAGAAATTAATCCGCTTTTTTTTAAATTTTAGTTCATATAAATGTAAAAAAATAAAAAATGAATGTATGCATTTTTAATTAAATTTAAAAAAATAACTTCTCCTAATAAATTAATCCGATTTTTTTAAATTTTGGAGAAATTATTTTTTAAAATTTAATTAAAAATGCAGATATTCATTTTTTATTTTTTTACATTTATATAAACTAAAATATAAAAAAATCGGATTAATTTATTAATTTTAGTTCATATAAATGCAAAAGAAATAAAAAATTAATATCTGCATTTTTAATTAAATTTTAATAAAAAACTTCTCAAAAATTGAAAAAAAAATCTGATTAATTTATTTATTTATAATGAAAAATTCATCATAAATGTTGTAAAATGTTATTTCTTTAATTTGTTTATTATTTTTAATTTTTGTTAACTACACACTATCCATTTTAAATTTTCTGTCTTTTTAAAGTAATACCAAAAAATCAGGATTTAATTAACAATGTTTGAACTAAGTGGCAGATAACTAAGGATCAACAAGTGGAAATTTCCTTGATTTAGCTTCCACTTAAGTTCAAATAAATTTTACCAAATAGTTGTCAAATTCCTATTGATAAATTTGATTTACCAAGATTATGTGGTGTTATGGAGCGTTTTATAATAAATAATTGAAAACAGAAACATATTTTATGAAACAAATTTTATAAAAAATTTAATTACTTTTTTGTGAACAACTGGGAGTCCTTATTTTTTTAAAAGAAAGTTTTTATGAAAAAATTTAAAATTTGTACAAAAAATATAATTGCTATAATATAGAGTTTCGTGAAACCCTAGGATTCGGTGAAAAAGTGACAGGGAATACAAGAGTTTACCAGCTATGATTTTATGAAACATTATTAGTTACCTAACCCTGTAATTAAATTTATAGCCAATTAATTTCTCATTAATTATTTAATATCCATCTGATTGCTAATCTCAAGGTTTTCATCCTTTTTCTTTTTTATTTAAATGAAAACCGCATTTCAGCTAATTTATATTCAGTTTATGCATAAAATAAAATAAAAAGAAGAACTAGACTGATGTTATTCCAAGCCTGGAAATTCAAATGTCTGGTATAAAACCCAATTTTAAAACAAGTATAAATAAACTGAAAGAATAAAAAATTTCATTCTTCATTCATTCATTAAATATTTTCGAAATAATTAATAAATTAAAACCATTAATTATTTTCAAAATAAATAATTGCCGTTCACTATTAAATATTTAATAGTTTATGAAATTTCTCAAGTCTCGGGGTTCCACTTAAGCGGGTCAAATATTTAGGGTTCCGAACCCAAAAACAATTGGGCTTCGCCAGCTTAAAAGATTTTTGAAAAAGATTCTAAAAGAATTGGCTTTTTTGATGTTATTCCCAAATTTTATTTCTAGAAAATATATTATATTCATTTTAGTTCATTATTATAATTATTTTGGTTTTGAATCAGTGTTTTTAGAGTTTTCCTGAAAATAATTAAAAAAATTGAAATCATTAATTTAAATTAATCACAGCCGTTCATTGATAAATATGTTCAGAATTATTTATGAAATTTCTTAATTAAGTATTGGGATTCCGCTAAAAGAAGCTCAGATATTTAGGTTTCAGTAGCAGAAAAAATTAGGCACCATTAGCTTAAATTTTTTTTTTAAAAGATTCCAAAATAATTAACTTATACTTTTTTGATTTTATTCCCTAATTTTATGCCTAGAAAATATTTATATTCATTTTAGTCTCTTATTATTATTATTTTGATTTTGAATCAGTGTTTTAAGAGTTTTCCTGAAAAAGTAGTTACTGAAATACCCTTTTGGTTAAAAAAAAATTTTTTTGTAAGGAATTCTTTAAAAAATATTTGCAATAATTATCATGTTAATTCCTATCTCTAGATCGAATTTTAAAGTTTCTATAAAGTTTTTATAGGGACTTAAATTCAAACTTAATTGTTGTTAGAGTTTAAAGTTCATATTTATGTCAGGCTTCAACATTTTGCAGAATTACTCACGTAACAGATCTACAATTATCAAGATACTAACAAAAATTTCATCAAAAAGATCTAACTAACTAATCAATTTTTTTCAGAGTACCTATCCATGTATGGATATCTGCTCTTTCATCTAAATTGAATAATATGTGGTGGAAGGGAAGGGAGGTGCAGCGTTAACATTAAGTTAAATCTCAGAATGAACAATAATTGATAATATCAAGTCTGAGTCATACATAAAAATAAATCGCAAGTTGATACATAATAAAGGGAACAAATTGAAGATAAAGATAAAGAAAGAATATTTACACTATTTACACATTTACAAAAGGGGGAAGACTCCCTGTGCACTCTTAAAAAAGATCTAGAGCAGTCAATTTGTATTAGTCGTTGAGAATAAATTTTCTTAGTAGTAGCAACATTATAGCGTTTTGACGTATTAAATCTTCTATTTAAAGTTTCAAAAAAATATTCAACATACCACAACAAATCAATAATTTTAAAAAACATGTAGATATGATCTATTAATAAGCTTATTTCTTTACCATTCAATTGCGCTTCGTCGATTCATCATACATTCCTACTCAGATGAATTAGTTAGAGCCTCTCGCAGGGCTGATGCTAAGATAACTACAACAGATGAGTATGAAATTAGCTTATTTAGCTCTTAAATTTTTACATAGCTGTCAACTTGTACGACTGATTGAGAAATAAATTTCTTAGTGGTAGCAACATTAGCATTTTGGCGTATTAAATCTTTAATTATAAAGTTTCAAAAGTATTTTTATACTACCCCGAGAAATCAATAAATTTAACAAAAATGTGTAGATAAGACATATTTGTTGGCTAATTATGCTTATAATTGTCTTAATAGCTTTGTTTTTTAGAAAATTCCTCCAAACTTAATTGTTGTTTTACTACCACTTAGTAAAATCCTTTTCTGCAACCGTACAAGTTGGCAGATATGAAACCACTAGAAATGTTCAGCTAATTGCTTTAAGCGTTTAGCAACCACGATTCTGTAAACAACTAAGAGCTAAAATATGATTACTTACAATGTCCTGCCTAGCTAAAATTTTCAATCTAAAAATGCTGTTCCGAAAAGGGTTAACGCACTTAAGCCGAGATCGGCTTTAGTACATCAAATTTAAATGGTATTACGTAATTTGGTTAGATGGTCAAGCGGTAGTGATAAATGAAAGAAAATCGGGAAAAATAAGTAAATTCGCAACGCGGGATTTGGAATCCGTTGTTACCTAAAGGCAAACCTACTAAGGGATTTATATGTCTTAAAGTCTATGTCCATCTAGATGGACTCAGATGGCAAAAATTGTATCTCCTTAGACGTAACATTGGTCATGCGTCTATAAGTTAGCTCTTACTCAACATAGAGATGAACAATTAATTGTAGCTCCCGGGTTTTAACCCCGAATCTTCTCAGAAATAACAGTGAGAAGCTGCGAATGAGAACAGGGTTCATATGCACCTGGAAAAAATAAATAAGTGGTAGTAATATTATTAAAATTTTTTTAAATATTTTTACGTTTGTAGCTAGTAGCATATTTTATTTTCTCTTAATAAAAATGTTGCCATGGGTGACTAAAATTGCAAAAAGTGCTAACTATTAAAATTCGAAATTATATTTAACGAAATGAAATTTGTCAACTTTGTAAAGCACATTTTTTTTTCAGTTTACTATAAGAGTAAATGCAAGAAATGTTTGCATATGCATAACATGAAATGTGAGTCATAGTGGTAGATACGACTAAATAATTAAATAGATAATAATTAAATAAAAGTGATTTGAGTTGCTACCACTTTTTACATAAATATTCGTCCGTGGCATCCCTGTAATAAATATCGAAGGGGGAAGATATGAAATTTCATTTCGATAGTGGAAGCTAATGTTATGTACTTTTCAGACTCTTTGAAACAAAATTGATGCCAGTCATCACTTTTTTTCAGGTGCGTACAAACCCTGTTAATATAAGTTTTAAATATTAACCCGTTTTGTCCCGAATTTATATATTGAAATGACACAAAAAGTGGTTTTATGGAAAAAATGGTATAATATATTATCGAAATTAATTGGTTTTTCTACTGTTAGAGCATTCAAAAAGTGATAGATCAGAAAGTACTTGCTTCTTATAATTCGAGATCTAATCCGAAATAACTAAATCATCATGGTATCTGAAAATCTTTTAATTCACTCAAATAAATGAAAATACTGAAAAAAGTTTCCCATCACAATAAATGTCTTTGAAAAAAGGAACTGTCCTAAATATCTGACGCTGGGCGTTGACCGGTAAAAATTGTTTTGTAAAGGGAAAATCCAGCAGTTAATAATTAAACTCTGAATAATTTATAACAAACTGCATGAAATATTACAGATAATATTGTTAGCACAAATATTTGTCGGGATTAATACACTTCTTAAAAAATTTAGAAAGTGATAGCAAGACTTCGAAAATAAGATGTATTTTAATATATTTTTATTCACCACCATGTTAAGTATTTCCCAGTAAATATATATATTCATATATTTATTTTTAGTTTTCAATTTAATAATAAAAAGAGTTTTTTTTTTAAATTTTTTAAGGACTTTTAATCATTTCCGAAACAGCAAATTTCGATTTAAAATGTTGCGTTTTAATTGGCGTTATAATAACAAAAACTTCCTCAAAAGGTAATTACAATTGATTAGGGTCGAGAAAAGCCCACAAGTGTATACTCAATGATTTAAATTTTTTAAGGACCTTTAATCGTTTCCGTAACAGCAAATTTCGATTTAAAATGTTGCGTTTTAATTGACGTTATAATAACAATAACTGCTGCGAGAGGTAATTACAATTGATTAGGGTCGAGAAAAGCCCACAAGTGTATACTCATTGATTTAAATTTTTTAAGGACCTTTAACCCTTTCCGGAACAACTAATTTCGATTCAAAATTTTATTCAGGCAGGGCATGAGCAATTGCAACTTAAGACTATACAGTCTAAATAAAGCTGCATACTTAAGTTCTTTGTTGTTTAGAGAAATGTAGATGTTAAAAGTAGCAACAACCTACATTTATAACTATTAAAAACTTTTACTTATGTTATAACTCTAAGGAAAATGTTGGTAGCTAAGTACTTTTTGATATCTAAACAAGTTATAATATAGTTTTTTTGCCTGTTTTTACTCACTTCGATCTTGATATATTGATTGTTTGTATCATTGAATGATAGTTTAGAATGATTATGACTTAACACATTGCTGGCCGGCAACTTTTCTGAAAATTACCCCATGTGCCTGGCTATTGTTTTTGAAAGCGGATGTGGAAGTAAAACAATATAGCATACCTGCCAACTCATCCGGATTTTCCGGAAGATTTTATTTTCATATTTAAAGTGGTAGCAATACTCAGGTTATTCCAATTAACTTTTTGAATTATAATGATAATTATAAATGAGTTTGACCACCACTACATATAAATAATTACAATAAATATATGAAAGTATAATAATCTTTGCAAGAGTGAATTTCAACGGGATCAAAATATAAATATATTTTTGAGTCAGATTGTTTTTCGTTTATTGTTTTACAACCACTCTAAAAATCCATTGTCGGAACGAGTGAAAGTTGGCAGGTATGAAATAGACTTTAAAAAATTTTTAATTTTTAATGCGGTATGATAAAAAGTGTAACATCACACACGTGGAATGATAAGCCACAAATTTTGCAAATATATCAGGTTTCGTAAAGTTATAATAAATTGGTAGAGAATTAATTAGTAAAACTTGAAAAGTTAGGAAAATTAAGCCCACTTTTTAAAATAGTCACCACGAGATCACTGCTAACGAAAACACGAGTTAACTCGTGACTGGTCATCAACGCTTGGTCACGAAAACACGGGTTAACTCGTAACCGGTTAGCAATGTGTTAACAGCTGATACTTTGCTTAGTGGCTATTCCAGTAAGGCTGTTTTTCGAAGCCTCCGTCGTAATATGAAATTATGCTTTTTTACGAATACATATCATATTTTTATTGCTGCTGTGAGTTTGAAACTGTTACTCAGGACTGTTAGGTGAAGTTTAGCCTATCCAAAGCAGGAACTGTCTTCACTTATTTTGAAAATGGCGCAAAACGTCAATATGGAGAAAAGCAACAGTTTTGTGAAAATGAAAAGAATTGTGGTATCATTTTTTAATATTTAAAGACTTACACCAATGCTGCAGTACTTGGGCTCATAAAAATTTGCAAAAACTGAGACCAAGGCAGTGATTTTGATAATTTTTATCGAGATGGGAAAATGTCGCCAAACTGGCAGGAAAAAAGTTTAATAACTTTTCAAAAATTTGAGTTATTTATCTGTTCTAAAGCCCAGATAATTCTTCACGGCAAGATTATATACATAGTTTAAAATCCTCGCATTGCTTCAAGTGTAAGGCGCTTAAACTATGGCTTTTTTATTCTCTTGGCGCCAGAGCTTCGAAAAACAGCGTTAAGGACTTAAATAAATTAACCATAATGACTCATCTTCGTTATTGCAGGTTATTTAGAAAAAGCGGGACCAAGTGTTGTCCTGCTTGCATTAAAAGTAAATTGATTTCAATTCGAACTCCTTTGAAGTGCTGAGACAGGTAAGTGACATTTTTAGAGTAGCTATAATTAATTAGAGTAAAAAGAAAATTTTGGCATCCCAACTATTTTATTATCGATTTAATTCTCTGCATTATTTTATTTACCTAATGTGAAATAAAAATCACGCAGGCATACACTAAACCAATGTAGATTAGTTACGTTAACATGTTGAATGCCACGCTAATTTTACATGGCTTGCCCGTCTAGCCAAAATGTCTCAAGTTATTTTTAATCAATCTCAGTCAAAAATCTCAGTACATATTGCATTAATTTCTTCAAAACATTTTTGTAACGATAATAATATAAAAAAATTTTAAAAAATTTACATTTACTCGAATTATGTGTTTTTAATAATCTTGACTTCGCCGGTCACTAGTGACCCCCGTGGCGCTACGAACAAACTCAGTGCCGGTCACCGGTGACCCCCATGGCATTCAACTTGTTAAAATTGCAAGCAAAAACAATTCTGTTATATTAAACATACCCATATTAATGCGATAATTTTATGTTATATTTCCCGGATTAATAAATACCCTTGAAAATGTCACTTACTTACTTCATCCACTAAGCTCTCCATTTGTAACTAGCATTTAAACGCTTCCAGACATGACAGAATGTCTGTGTATATTAAATTGATCTATAGTAATATTATTATTAAATTGACCTATAGTAATATCATTATTAAATTGATCTATAGTAATATTATTATTAAATTGATCTATAGTAATTATTTAAAATATTTTGTTTCCCTAATTTTGTTTTTCTTGTTTTTGGTTTCTAACTTTTCATTTAAATTGTTTACATAAGACAAATTTAGTTAAGACAAATCTTAACGCTTTTCCAATCTGACTTATTACTTTAAAGTATTTTTTCTCTCGGTTTTGTTTTCTTAAAATTTGCTTTAATCAATTTCATACTTTAATTGGAATCCATTTTTTTACATTCATAATTTTATAGATTTCCTCAAAGGGAGACGCTGGCATGTTTCGTTTTTTTACCCTTTCGAAGGCCGTGGGAAGTATACTTCCCACCACTTTTAATTTAGGTTTCCATTTGTTAATAACTTCAGCTTTGTTGGAGTACGTTTGACTAAAATTGGTAACCATTTGTTAGTTTAAAAAAAACGCTTAAAAGTTATAAAATACATAATTCTTTTTGAAGTTGGTAGCATTTATAAAATTTATTTTATAAATAACGAAAAATAAAAGTCAATAAGTAATATATGGTCGTGTTAAATATATTTACCATAAAAAAATTGCCTTTTCATAAACTAAATGGATTTTTTCTTTCTTATATCAATTACTATTCTTAAAACAATTTCAATTCAAAAAATACTTTAATTTACCTTTACTAGAAATAAATGGCCCGTGAAAGGGCTAAAGATATAAATTACTACTGAAATAATTCTGCTTCCAGTTTTTATCTTTATAATTTCATAACTGTTGATTTCTAGCACCAACGAGTTATTCTTTTTCTTTTGAAAAAGTCAATTTAAGTTTCAAAGGAAATTTCCAGAATGCAAACGCAGTTTTAGTGGTTGAATATCTTGTTTCGAGAAAAATGCAAAATATTTCTGTGTTATTTTTTATTTGATAATATTTGTAATGAAGAAATATGATTAGTGGGATATTCATGTTACATAATGCTCATTTTTAAGTTTTTAAACGTCTAATAAAGTGATTTGAAGGTCTAACAAACTATCGAAGGTCGCGTACTAAACAGGTTGCATCGTTACATCACAATTTCAGTCAGAGAATATTCTTCCGATTTGACTAGGATTAGATTTCTTCGCATTTAACTTTTTCTTCCTCTTCTTATTTTTCTTTTCTTTTCTATTTTTCAGGTTTCACTATGAATTAAAATGCAATACAATTCGAGAACATATAAATAACCGTTTTCTTTTCTCTTTTTTTTCAGTGTTAACGTGAAGTTTTCCCACACATAATTTAAATTTATAATATAATTCTAAATAAAAAGAAAACAGGTGTAAAAGACTAATTAAATTATTCTTTTAAATCTACGCCAATGTTTACCTGGGGGTAGAAAACGGTGATCAACGCAGAATTTTCATCAAAGATATTTTTAATGTTTATTTTTATTATTTTATATTGATTTAAGTCAAAATAATTGAAAAATGTTATATAATAATTTACGGTTATGAAATACAGCATGAAACACCAGTGTGTTTTACTGCGTTAAAACCAAAATCTTTCAAACACGGCTCACTTCCAATTTTGCACTTCTTTACAGTTATTTAGATCTAAGAGAAATAATTATTGACCATTGAAATTTCCTTAATTTACAAAATCAATTATTTATAAATATTTGAATAAGAATGCAAAAAAAATTTTTAGAACTATTTTTTTTTATTTCATATTCCAGTACGAATAATAATATCCAGTAAAAATTTTAATACCTTACAATTCAAAATTCCTTTTAACCCTTTAACGGGCCTTTTATTTCTAGTAAAGGTAAATTAAAGTATTTTTGGAATTGAAATTGTTTTAAGAACAGTAATTGATATGAAAAAAAACTCATTTGGTTTATAAAAATGCCATTTTTTTGGTGGTAAATATATTTAGCATGATCTATTAGGAACTCACTGACTTTTATTTTTCTTTATTTATAAAATAAATTCCTTAAATGCTACAAACTTCAAAAGGAATTATGTATTTTATAACTTTTATACGTTTTTTAAAAGTGACAAATGGCTACCAATTTTATTCAAACTCACTTCAAGAAAGCTGAAGTTATTGAAAAATGGAAACCTAAATTAAAAGTGGTAAAACGTGGTGGTAAGTATACTTACCACGGCCTTCAAAAGGGTTAACTGTTATTAAATAAAATAAGGAAAGATAATAAGTGAAAATTATAAACTATTTTTACATGAAATGTTGAAAATTAAAATGATATTAATATGTCCAAATTTTCGACAGATTTCCTGTCCAAACTATTGGGACTATATTTCTTGTTTTGAGTTACCCTCATATTTTGAGGGTCATGAAAACGAATCCATCGGAAAAAAGGGCATTATGTATAATTTCATCGTATACAAATGTTTACTAGCACATTTAAGGTTGGGATTTCGAACCATTAAGTCTAAATCCTTGTATGAGAAAATCCGATCATTAGATCAGTAGTTATGTTAGGCTTTGTACAAAGTATATGCTGCCTTTATAGAAATAAAATTTTTATAATTTATTTTCATATATAAACAAAACGACATTAATAATTTGTGTAGTTATTATAATTATATTTCAGTTATTTGTGTAGAATTATTGTAGTTATTATATAATTTGCAAATGTTTAAAAAGAATTTACGTGAAGTCTATTGTCCAAACAAGTTGGTTCAGATTTTGCAGAGAAAGAAGTTTTTCCTAAAAAAAACTGGCTGATAGATAAATAAAAATTACATTATATGTTATTAAAATTATATTTTAGTTATTTGTGTACCATTATTGCAGTTATTGTATAATTTATAAATGCTTAAAGGGAATTTACTTCAAGTCTATTGTCCAGACAAGTTGGCTCAGATTTTGCAGAGAAAGAAGTTTTTCCTAAAAAAAACTAGCTTGTAGATAAATAAAAATATTTATGGCATCTTTTGAAAGGCTGACGTAATTTGAAAATTCTTCGGAGTCAATTGATAAGGAAGTCCCGCAGTGGTATTTGCAATAAAGCTTCCAAATATTCGGAGGGACTTTATGAATGGGACGAAGGCTTCTATCCTTCATATTTAATTAAATGGAAGGAAGGGACGCTAAATTATTGCTTTTTAAGACGGTGATTTTCTATAAGCGAGGGTCGGATATTTTTGTCTTTAATAGTACGCTTGCTTAAGGAGAGATATGATGTCTTGAAAAAAGAAAAAATAAAGCAATTAAGTTTTATCCTTCAGACGTTATGAATAAACAGGATTAGATTAAAATGTTTGATATAAATTATTAAAGAAAAATTGAAAGATAACATTAGAAAATGTTTCAAAACATTCTAATCTCAGAGAGCAAAACAAAGTTTATTTTCACTCAGCTAAAGCCTTTTAATGTAAACCTAAAAAGGTTTCTCATGCGGTTTACGTGTAAACCTTCTAACCTTAAAACAAGATCTGTGACATCTGCTATATTCTACGTACATTACCCTAATCCAAAACCTTGGTAAACAACCTTCTATATAAAAACCTTAAATCGAGGTTAACTTGGGGTTTTTAAGCGTGAAAAAATCCTTTAATCCTTAATCCTTTAAAAAATCCCGTTTAGAAAAAATTGGTGGTGCGCTTAAAGATTTGACCTCTTAAAAAAGAAAAAGAAATAAAGCAATTGAGTTTTATCCTTCAGACGTTATGAATAAACAGGATCAGATTAAATTGTTTGATATAAATTAATAATGAAAATGTAAGATATTATAAAAAAAAAGTCATAACAACGCTCTAAAGTTTAACGTGTTTAAGATAACTGTGGCAAAATTGTGGCGATGATTTTAATCTACATATGCATAATCTTGCCGTGACGAATTATCTAGGCTTTAGAGCAGACAAATAATTTAAATATTTTAAAAGTTATAAATTTTTTTTTAAAAAATCACCAATTGGTGCCATTTTAATAACTAGAAGAAAATTATCAAATGACTGCCATATTCTCAGTTTTTGAAATATTATGACCCCAAGTAATGCAGCATTGCAGCTAGCTCTTAAATGTTAAAAAAAAATAAACCACAGACGCTTTTCATTTTCACATAACTGTTTCTTTTCTCCATACTGATGTTAGGCACCATTTTCACAATAAGCGTAGACAGCGGCGGCTTTAGTTAGGCTAAACTTGACCTAACAATCATGAGTAATAGTTGAAACTCACAGCAGTCATAAAAATAGCATATTTTTTGCAAAAAAGGATAATTTTTTATTGCGACGAACCCTTCGAAAAACAACTTTAAACGATTTAGTGTTTATATTCATTCAGACAGCATTTTAAAGAACTCGGAGTGCGAAGGATTAAAAATGCAATGTGTTTACATTTCAAATTAAAATGTAAATATTATAGTTTTCAATATGTTACTGTAGATTGAACTATCTGGTTTCTTAAAAATAAAACATATTATTAAAACGTTTGAACTACCACTTATTTCATTTTTGAAAGAAAAAAAAAGAACAGTCTTTTTAAAAGGACGCTAAAGCATAACTGAGTTAACATGTGAGTAATAATTACAATTAAGCTTAAAATTATTAATGACAGCCGACTTCTTTTATTTTTGAAAAAAGAATCGTCCTTTTAAAAGGAAGCTAAAGCATAACTGAGTTAACATGTGAGTAATAATGACAATTAAGCTTAAAATTATTAATGACAGCTGACTTCTTTTATTTTTGAAAAAAGAATTGTCCTTTTAAAAGGACGCTAAAGCATAAATGAGCTAACATGTGAGTAATAATGACAATTAAGCTAAAAATTATTAATGAGCGCTGTAATCTTTTATTAATTATAAACTTTATTAAAAACTTATTTTTTTAATATTGATTTCTTTATAGTATGCCACTGACAAACATAAACAGAATGTGATTCTTCTATAGAAAAAGCTATCTGGTGCTTATTAGCGAACATCTTGAACGAAGGAATACATTTTTCTTCTAATTCAGTAAGTTCGTTTTTCATTTGTTAAAAAAGATTTTCCTTAGAGCTGGATGCGATTTTCGATCCAGTGGCTTTTAACAGACCCCTCTCCCTTTAAGCATTTTTTTAAATAAATAAAAATCTAATTTTTGAATTTTTCTTTTCAGTTTAAATAACAAATTTTAAAAGAATTAAAAGCTTACCTTATAAATGTGATCAACGACAGTCAAGAAGAAAATCTAAAAAAAATAGAGAGCAAGTCATTAAAAGCTGTTGGATTGTAAATTAGCGGAGGCAGATTAGGAGGGGGCTACTGTAGCTACAGCACCAGATTATTAAATGTTCTCCACAAGTAGCCAATTGAAAAAGCATTAAATAAAAAATATATATAAATAAATAAAAATTTTAATTATTTTTATAACTGGCAGAAATTTAGAAATTTTATATTTTAATAAATTTTGTTTTTTAACTCATTAAAATAAGAGAACAGAGAACGGAAAAAAATAATGAATTACAGTAAAATATTTAATTAATTCTTGATTAACCGTGCAGTTATAATATTTAATTAATTCTTTAATTTTTTGTAACTTGCATTTGACTGATTCATCAGTTTTTGAATAGATGATTCAGGGTCATTAATGCAACTCTCGGCATTTGTTAATATATTTTTTTGCTGCATACACTTATATTGCGGTTAGAAAATTTTTCTAGGAGAAATTCAATGTAAACTTAAGGATTTCTTTTAAGTCATGAGGTAATGACTTTATTCTAGCTTTAATTCCAGCAATTTTGAAAACATGCTATAAGATTGCGATATTTAATATAAGAATGCCTTTAAAATTATAGCAGTGCTAAAATATGAGAGAAAAAAGCTTTAACTTCATATGCTTATTTTAGTCGACACAAATTTTGCTTGAGTAGAAAGGACATCAGTTTTAAAAGCTTCAAGCATGATCTTTTAACTGGTAACATTAGTACTTTTCCGTAAAACCTTCCAAAACATTTGATTCCTCAAAGAAAGATTGCTTTACATAGAGTAAGTATAAAAGTGTTGCCATATTTTTGACCAACTCCTATACCATTTAGCCAATTTAAGAGAGTTACATGGTAACCAGTTAAAGTCAAGAAATTGTTAAAAATCGTTGTATCGTTATATTTCAGATAGTGATTGTTTCCGAAAAAGTCAAAATGGGTAACCAGTTAAAGAAAGTTACATAAAACTATTAGTTTAAAAGCAATTTTGTGATATCATTATATTTCAAATAGCGATTGTTTCCGAAAAAGTCAAAATGGGTAACCTGTTAAAGAAAGTTACATAAAACTGTTAGTTTTAAAGGCAATTGTTTGAAATCGCAGTATTTCATATAGTGATTGTTTCCGAAAAGGTCAAACTGGGTTACCAGTTAGAGAAAGTTACATATAACTGTTAGTTTAAAGGCAATTTTTTGAAATCGTTATATTTCAGATAGTGATCGTTTCCGAAAAAGTCAAAATGGGTTTCAAGCAACCAGATGAGCCAAGCTGTTGCAGTTGCATCACGCAATTCAGAGGTTCTCGAAAGTTGATCCTTCTTATTGTAGCTATAGCTTTACTCTTGGATAATATGTTACTTACATCCGTAGGTATGTATCAACTGTAATTACTTTTATAATAAAATTAAATATTATCATAATAAATACTTTGAATGAAATAGAATACAGAGTAATTCAAAATGAATATGGCGATTACAAACGGCTATAACTATTAAATGAAAAGGAATTTATGGATCAAAATTTACACAGTGTGTAGAAGAAACTTCAAAATTTTAAATACATGCATCACAGATTTTTTATCTGGCTTCCCTTGGTCAAGCGGACCAGGAGGCAGTTCATTTTACGGCATACATTCTTAAACATTTGTGCTGTCACCGACGCAAGCGTATTACTAATACTACTTTTTCCTTTGCACAAACATCCCGTTTCTTCAAACATCCAATGAGGCCGGGATAGTCTGGTTGGTAGGGCACTTGCCCCATGTCCAAGAGTTTGTGGGTTCGATCCCCGCCAGCCGAAGACTCCCCGTGTGGTAAATAGTGACTGATGCACGTTAAATCTGTCGAGTCGCAAAGTCCTCTATGTTCCCATAGCAAATCAAATTTTTGAGCTGCAATGACTCAGGGGATAGAGCATTCGCCTTCCAATGAGGCGAACCGGGTTCGAATCTAAGTCGATTCAAAGTCCGCATCCGACTTGCACCGACCACAGAGCTGACGTGAAATATCCTCAGTGGTAGACGGATCATGAGTTAGAGTCCCCTTGCCGTCAGGCTAACCGTGGGAGGTTCTCGTGGTCTTCCTCTCCATGTAACACAAATGCGGGTTAGCTCCATCAAAAAGTCCTCCGCGAAGGCAAATTTCTCCCAATACTCGATCTAGGTGTTCTCTTGTCATCTGGATTGGATTCAAAATTACAAGGCTACGGAGTTGAACATTAGTAGTCGTAAACCCATAAAATTGGGTCGGCTGTTCAAGGGCTGATATAAAAAAAAGGAAAGAAAAAACATCCTATGAAATCTGCGTATGTTGTTCCCATTTGGAGATTCATCATTGTAACGCTAACAAAATCTTCTCGGTACTGTGATGACAGAATGACAATTGTCAAATTCTAACTCGCAGAAGACTTTCTGCACGGAACTCGCCATTTTCACTAATGCACTTGCGCATGAGCAGGATTCCGCTTCACTGCGCCTGCGCCCTACGTAAAGAAATTTTGAAATTCCATCTACATTCTATGTTAATCTTATCGATAAATTATTTTTCATTAAATAGTTATAGCTGTTTGTAATCGTTATTATTCATTTTGAATTACCCTGTATTATTAAGCACTACTTATTGAACACAGTTAATATAGAACACTGAAATTTTCAATCATTAAATAATTTAAATGTTTCATCACGTTTGTATGTTCCTTAAAACTAAATTATTTTTAGCTATTTTTTTGTTCTATTTCAGTTCCTATTATACCCTCATTCCTGTACCATCTACGTCATCAACCTACCGGCACTATTACAATACCGGAGCAAACTATTTCAAAGAAAATTTATTCAATTCCAAATATTCCAATAAATGATAAAAATGTTCCTTACTTTCTTCCGCGATTACCACTTCCTCGTAAAATTCAAAAAGCTCACGTCTGGGAACCACCAGGATTTACAATAGTGCCAAATGATGAATTTTGGAAAGTTACTACGCATTCCACAAATAACGAGGAAGAATTGCTACCAACTGAATCCAGTCAAACAAGACACGATGATTTAGTTGATGAAAACTTTGAAGTCAGCTTGATGTTTGCATCAAAGCCTCTTATTCAAGCATTTGCAAATCCTTTTGTTGGGCCTTTGAGTAACAGGTAAGTGACCTTAACCAAATGGCGTCCTTTATTTAACGAGACAAACCCGAGATGCCAACTGCTCCAGATTCAGCAAAAAAACGATATGGAATACAAACTAAACTTTGCAAATTTTAGGTTCATTTTGCAAGCTTTTTAAAAGGCTCAACGTGGCTTACTGCAACTAAGTGGCATATCATAAGAAGTCTTCGAATTATTTAGAAGTAGTGGGGAGTTAATACCCCATAAATTGAATTTTTAAACCAAGAACCATACATTAAACGACAAGACTACTACACGAAATTATCTATCCGCTGTCCGGAGGAAGTTGGCATCTCTGGCATTACCTCCTAGAAGAAAGAAAGTCTCTGCAAGGGTTACCATAAACAGGAAATTTGATCCTTTAGTAGACCAAACGAAATGACATATTTCGTATTTTCACCAACTGCGCAGCTTAGTACCTTTATGTTCGTTACGTCAGACTACTAAATTGATCCGTGCTGAGGCCTTCTCTCTTCTTGGAGGTGTTGTCTCTGGTCAGATTCTTCATGCATTTATTTCGAATAAATAAAAAATGGTGGCCGAAATATTTTGTTGTCAGTCTATTTCAGCAAGAGATAATGCATTGATAACAACTACGTCTTATAAATGACAAAGCATTTGGTAAAGGTATCAGGTTAGATTCGGTAACTAATCAACTAATAAATATTATATCATTCTTAATAAAATAGTTAGTACTAGTTTTTAGTTTGGCTTATTCTTCTCAGATCGGAATCTAAATAAATCTCACTCCAATAGGTTAATCCATTCTAAGGCCATATTAACGATCGCCAATTTTTTTAAATGACTCTAGTAAACTAATTTATTTTTTTTTATTTTGGCTGCCATTTGTTTATAACTTCATCTAGGGTCAGGATAGCTTGGTTGGTAGGGCGCTCAGCCCATGTCCAAGACGTCGTGGGTTCGATCCCCGCCGGCCGAAGACTCACCGTGTAGTAAATGATGACTGATGCACATTAAATCTGCATAGTCACAAAGTCCGCCATGTTCCCATTACAAATCATACCTCTGGAGGTACTGATCCAGGAGTTTCCTTGTCTTCTGGATTGGTTCAAAATTACAAAGCTACGGAGTTGAACATTAGTAGCCGCAAACCCAATACTGGGTTGGCTGTTCAACGACAGTTATAAAAATAAAATATAAAAATAACTTTATCTGTGAGGAATGACGTTTAAATTAAATCACTAATCATATGCCAATTTTAGGAAATGTTTAAAAAGTTGTAATATAGAATTCCTGTCAGATTGCAACATTTGCAAAATTCATTTGTGAATAAAATGAAATTCAAGTCATTAAGCACCCTAAAGTGCGGTGATAATCGTACGTGCAACCAAAAAATGACTTTAAAATTCAAATTCATTTTATCGAATAAGCTAAAAGTTTTTTTTTTGTATCAATTATGTTCCAAAATTGTTTAATGTGCCCATATGAATTAATAACCCTTTAAAGGGTTAAAGTAAGGAAGTAATCTTATAGTGCCTCACAATTTCTTAATTGCAGCAGAAAATATCAGGGCTACTAACTTCTCCGCTATCAGCAAAATATTTTTTTAAGTGGTAGAAAATTTGAATAATAAATTTTTAGTATTTTGGTTAATAATTCTATACTTTAAAGGCCTTCCGTGCTATAACTGCAACGAAAATCGCATTTTATATGAATTTTTTTTCTATGTTGTGGTGACCAAAATCATTTCAAATCTTTTTATTAAATCAAGAGTTACTCATTAAAACATAAATTTTGCTACCACTTGAAAAAAAAATTATAAACAAAGCACCAAAAATTCTCATCTCAACATTGAAAGTTAATATTATTTCATGAAGCTATGGGTTTTAATTCATCTCTGCATCATGTTCTTTTAAAAGAACAAATCACATTTATTATTATTTAGCAGTAACAGTATACCCTCGATGTCTCAAAGTTGAAAGACGCTAAAAAAATTTCGAGTTGGCCAGTTTTCGAGATAAAAGATTCAGACAGGGACCTCTGATTTATAAATGAAAGAACACAGCCCCTTCTAAGAGTACAATTTTTCACTTAGGCTCAGGGGATATAGCGTTCGCCTTACCGGGTTCGAGCCTGGCGATCGCTGGTCGATATGAGTTCCGCATCCAGCTTGCACCGACCACAGTGCTGACATGAATATCCTCAGTGGTAGACGGATCATGGGTTAGAGTTCCCTTGCCGTCAGACTAGCCGTGGGAGGTTATCGTTGTCTTCTTCTCCATGTAACGCAAATGCGGGTTAGTTTTATCAAAAAGTTTTTCACGAAAGCTAGTTTGATCCTGGAGTTTCCTTGTCTTCTGGATTGGGTTCAAAATTACAAGGCTACGGAGTTGAACATTAGTAGCGGTAAAATCAAAAATTGGGTCGGTTGTACAACGACGGTTATAAAATAAAATAAAATTGTTCACTTAATGCAATGAATTTGCAAATAAATATATACATAATTTTTTAGCGTTTGATTTCTGGAAAAAAAAAGTCTATTTCGATGGGAAAATTCTCGGTTTTAAAAATTACTAGCGAAGAAAAAAAAATCACAGCGAAGCAGAATAAAAACAATCCTGTTATATGAGAGATAAATAATTTACAGATAAACAATCACTTATATTAATTTATTTTAGTTTGAAAACAGTTCTTTTTAAAATATTACTCTAATATGTAGCTCTAAGATATTACTTTATGTCTAATAATATTACTCTAAAAAGTAGAGCCACGAAACTCAACTTTAATAGTAGAGAACTATTAATAAATATGTATGCAATGATTGTTGACTATAAATCTAAATACAACAACGATAATTTTATTTTAAAGTAAGACAAAAAATATCATGCATTAAATAGAAAATAATTGGTTTACAATAAACTTATATTGCGATTTTTCATTTCATATTTCAAAAAAAATTCGACATAACAAGGTTTTAAAAAGAAATTCTTCTACATAGGAATTCAAATTAACATTAGCCAAGCGGGAACATATATATATAAAGCCAAGCGGGAAAATATTTTTTGACATAACAATGTTTTCGAGATATCGAAGTTCCAGAAATCGAGAGTGTTTTAAAAGGTAGAAGTTTCATAAAATTGAAGTTCTTTGTCAAAAAGTAACTGCGTTCGAAATAAATCTTATTTTCATATATTTCAATTATTGTTTTGTAACAGAAAATGCTGTAAATATTCATATTATAAACCAAGATTAATACATTAAAGCAATATTTCTTCAACGTTCGTATAAGGTACTAGTTAATTCTTTTAAGAGGAACGTTTCTAATTAGGCCTAGGAATATTTAAAAGAAAAATCTTCAAATTGAATAAACCTCAATTAAAAAATGGTGAATATCATTACAAACAGATCATTTTTTGCATGCATACTTAAATAGAAGGCGTTTCGAATGAACGTTTAAATGGTTGTCGTGTGCTTGCTTACAAGGAAAACATCATTTAATGTATCTCTTATTTCAAGGTTATTCTTCGCTCATACGTGACCAGACACTTCAAATAGCTGAACTCAATATAGTTATATAAGAGGAATTAAACACGTGTGATTCAGAAAATATAAACTACCGAATTTGTTTTTCGTAGTTTTATCACATTTCATATTCTGTTTTTTATTATAATTTATTATTTTTATTTATATATTTATTTTGTGTGATGAATTTTGACTTTGAAGAAAGAGAATACTCCTTACTACTGCGTAAATACAAAAATGTTAATAAGAGAAATTTCGTAATAGATTACATTAAAAAATTCTTTATTATTTATTTATTGATTAGTACAAATTAATATTTAATTTACAATAATAAGCGATTAAATACAATATTATTTTTTACAATTATTTATTATAGTAAGTAATCCCTCCGTCTCTAATTAGTTGCTACATTTAGTCGAAAATTTTGTCCTAAATTAGTTGTACAGTGCACAGAAAAGAAAAAAAAACGGACAACCCTGAATAACTTTTGATGTTATGATCGGATCTTCAATCTCTATCTAGGGTTGTCTTCAATCATGGGTTTAATCTTAATGGCTCGGGGGGGGGGGAGATCTCAAATATGCTAATTAATTAGTGCAAACGATATTTTAAGCAACGAAATCAGACACAAAACCGTACTTCGTCTGAATAAAAATGTATTTTTTTTCAATGGATACGGGTTTTTGACCCCCAAAATATAGGGGGTGGCCGCAATCTGGGAAATTTGGTCTCCATAGTTTGGTCAGGAGAGTGAGTCAAAGTTAGGACCCCTTAATGTAAATTTGACTTTTTACGTGTTTTGCCATATCAACGAGAATTTCTTGAAAGACGTGGAAAATTTTTGCATAAAACTATAAAATTCCTTTATCCAAAGATTATTCCTGGCAAAAATTAATTTCAATAATTATTTATTATTATTTCATTTATTATTACTTCATTTATTATTATTTTATTTTATTTCAATTATTATTAATTTTATTATTTTATTTCAATTGAAAAATTTTAAATTGTATGATATACAACTTTTTGCATTCTTTCAAAGCATCTAATTTTGCATTGCAAAGTTCAAAATTTGAATCGTTTCAATAGTTCTTTTAAAATTGAATTTTAGCTAGACGACTTTTTTAAAATTCGATTTTTCAGATACTATTCGTCCAATTTCGCTCAAATTTTGTATTTTACCATGTTTATTTACAAACATCAAAATGAAGTAAAAAATTGCTCACCTTACAATTCAAATTTTTTTTCGATCATTATTATAATAAAAATTTATAAATATTTACTAAAATTTATTTTTAGCATGGAAATATATTTGGATAAACGAATTTTATGATTGTGTACAAATATTTTTTAATTCTCTCAAAAAGTTCTCCGGATACTGCGAAATACGCAAAAAATGAAATTAACATCTAGCAGTCCAAACTTTGGATAGCTCTCCTAACAAAACTATGAGGACCATATTTTCCAGATTACGGCTATCCCCATATTTTGAAGGTCAAAAACCTGATTTCGTTGAAAGCGTGGTACATTTATTTAGATAAAGCATGTTTTTGTTTCTGATTTTGTTACTTAAAATATCGTCTGCACTAATTAATCAGCATATTTAAGGTGACCCCCTCGAACCATTAAAATTGAGTCCTAGAACGTGAAGATCCAATCATTAGATCAAAAGTTATTCAGAGCGGTGATTTATGCGATTACCGGTGCAAGAGTCCTTAGAAAAGGAGGCGTGGTCAACGAACGTGCGAGTCCTTGAATTTTGAAACAATTTGGAATGCCACGCTAATTTAACATGGCTTGTCCGTCTGGCCACAACTACAAACTAAATTTGTAAATATTGGATAGATTTTTCTAGTTTTTTAAAAGGTTTAAGCAAACATATCTGAAAAAAGTGGTGAATTATATAAGTCTACGTATGTTTAGACATAGTGGTGGATAAAAATCTACTAAACTGAATTTATTAAACCAAGAATCACAATTAAAGAACTACCACTTGAAAATATTTATTCGCTGTCGGGAGCAAGTTGGCATCTCTGTGTAGATAAATAAAACAATTTTTGTGTGTTCTATATTACATTAATTTCTTCAAACCATTTTAGTAACGGTAATAATATAAAAATATTAAAAATTTAATCGAATTATGTGTTTCTAATAATCTTGGCTTTGTCGGTCACCAGTGACCCCGTAGAGCTATGAACAAATTCAGTACAGGTCACCGGTGACCCCCATGGCATTCAACGTGTTAAGGAGAGAATGCTCAGTAAGTGAAAGTTGGTTGATAGCAATAGCAAAAAAATCTGTGACAAATATTCAAGCGAAATCATAAGATTTTCAGTACTAATAATTAGTACAAAATTGTTCAAAGAAGCAGCTATTATGTAGCTGCTAAGCTCAAACGTAGCAGCACATGAACATCTAGATATATCTCCTTTAATTTATAAATATACTTTAGAAAACTAGAATAAATGAAAACAATATGTTTGTTCAATTTTTGTCTACCACTTTTTAAATTTTACCTGGTTGTGATCACGCTGTCAGCTTGAAATGCAGAGTTGAAATAATGGGCATAGCGTTGGATTCCCTTAAGTTAAAGTTCTGTTGTGATTAGTATATTTTAAAAGAATACTTTATTTTTGTTCGGTTGAATTCAACATTAATTAACCAGTTAACGCCCAGCATCATATATTTAGGACAGTTCCTTTTTTCAAAGACATTCATTGTGGTGGGAAACTTTTTTCAGCATTTTCATTTATCTGGGTGAACTAAAAGATTCATAGATACCACAATGACAGGCCATCTCCAATAGCCCATCATGAGCCGCGGTTTGCTCAGAGAATAAAGCGCTCGCCTTCCAATGAGCCGGGTCTGAATTCTAGGATTGCCTTTTCGAAATGAATTCCACACCCGGCTCGCATCAACCACTGTGCTGACGCAAAGTATCTTCAGAGGTAGATGGATCCCCCCTAGGGTCCCCTTGCCGTCAGCCTGACCGTGGGTGTTTTGCGCGTATATTTCCTCTCCATGTAATACAAATGCGAGTTAGTTCCGTCAAAAAGTCCTCCACGAAGGCAAATTTCTCTCAATGCTTGATCCAGGAGTTCCTTTGTTTTCTGGATTGAGTTCAAAATTACAAGGCTATGGAGTTGACCATTAGTAGTCGTTAACTCAAAAGATTGAGTCGGCTGCTCCACGACGGTTATAAAATAAAACGAAATAAGATAAAAAATTATGCAGCTCTGGGGCAACGTAAATAAAGTACTACTTCTATCTCTTATTGTTATAATCGTTGAATAAAAATACACTGAAATGGCAATTATAATCAAATTATGATTTCATCAAATCCTTGTTTTTTTATAATTTGCTAATCCAGAGCTTTGTCATACAACTACTTATAAATGCGTAAAACAGTTTTGCTAATACGCCAAATAGTATGAGTTTTGAGTGATAAATACCAGAAATATTCCATTTGTCCACACTAGCCCCCTTTTCCCCTAATAAATTAGGGTTCATACTTTTGTATACCCCACTTTCCGAATCAGTTTTTTTTTTTTAGTTCAATTTGTTTTTATATAATATCTTCTTAAATTTGTTTTTGTTTCAGATTGGGTTTCAACGTAATCATGTTCGTGGGATTTTTGATCTTGATCTCTACATCTTTAGGTAAAATTGTATTTTATTTTTCAATTCAATGTTCATATGACTATCTTAATTAAATTTTGAAACAAATTGAACAGTTCAAAGAGCAGTTTAGGCAGTGACAAGGATTTTACCCATTCAGGGCCATGATCACATGTATGTGATCAAGCGATTCTCCCTTCTTGGCCCATGGTATCATATTTGAGATAAGCCTTTTTGACTCCAGCTGTCCAGAATCATACGCAAGTGTTCTTGATTTGGTATTCTGGTACTGCATCTTATATAAGTACGCATATGCCACCTAGTAGCATAAACCATCACCTCCTCCTACATCGTCCCGCAGTGGACTAATCGTGAAAACACGGCTCCCAGCAGATCACCGAACTCAAGCATCACTGTTTGCGGTCAGTGTGCGGGTGGGTGACCACTTGGATCAATCTGCGTAGGGACCGAGGATGTGCGGTATTTGTCCTCGTTGAACTGTTCTACCGTAAAGTGCTCGACTTCGCGTTCAGGTTGTCGGGTTACCGAAGCGGGAGTGTCATCCCCTCTAAAGAGGATCAAAATTGTGATGGCATGTCTTCGGATCACCCTCATGGATGTTTCCCAGACCGTCGCCAATAGCCCATTGTGCAGCTCTAGTGCGACGTAAATTAACAACAACAACAACTTTCACTCNATTTATCTACACTAGCCCCCTTCTCCCCTACTTAATAAATTAAGGTTCATATTTTTGTATACCCCACTTTCCGAATAATCATCTTTACGAATCAGTTTTTCTTTCAGTTTTTATTTGTTTTTATATTATAACTTTTTAAATTTGTTTTTGTTTCAGATTGGGTTTCAATGTTATCATGTTCGTTGGATTTTTGATCTTGATCTCTACATCTTTAGGTAAAATTGTATTTTATTTTTCAATTTGATGTTATTATGAATATATGAATTAAATTTTCAAACAAATTGAACAGTTTTAAGAACAATTTGGACAGTGACAAAGATTTTACCAGTTCAGGGCTACGATCACATGTATGTAATCAAGCGATTTTCCCTTTTTTACCCATATTTGAGATAAACCTTTATGACTCCAGTGGCCCATCATCACAACGACGTGTTCTCGATTTGGTATTTCTGCATCTTGTATATGCCACCTAGTAGTACAAGCCATCATTTCCTACATTAGAAAGCCTCCACACGGGATTTTATAAGTAGTCTGCGCAGATTATTTAAAAAGCGAACCAGTTGTGAGCGTGAAGCTAAATTCTATTTAAAAAGTATTGGTTTTTTGGAATTACATACATTTGCAGGGTTATAAACCTTTGTCAAATAGAAGAACAGATAGCGCAATACAGAGAAGGACAGAATGAAGATACATCCAGAGTAACAGCGGGATTCGAACCCGCTATCAATTTTGGTATTTTTAAGCAAAAATCGTTTACTTTCGTTTTCACCTGAAACGGGGAGTCACGTGATTATTCATTGACGTCACACGTGCCCATCTGCCGTTCATTTACAATCGCTGTAGTGTGAAAACCAATACCTTCTTGTTCCCGTGTGAATTTTCGTAATTAAATCCAACTATTTTAGATAGCCAATAACTGCAAAGAACAGAAAGTAAAGGTTTTTTTCTGTCTCTTGAATGCAGGTTAAATGGGAAATGACACTAAAAAATTCTCCAAAAATTTTTTTTAAAAGTTATTGCATTATTTGACAGTTTATTTTTTTAAGATTATTGTACCAAAATATTGAATTAATTTTTTTAAAAATTTAATAGTTACTGCATAATATGACAAACACGGCCTCGCAACGCAGGACGCACTGTGACGCGGATGAACAAGCTAACTTGCGTGCCAAGTTGATTAATTGCAAACTTGTACAAGCAAATGTGCAACCTTGTTCAAGCAAACTTGTGAGCTAAGTTGATTTGCTTACTCTTTTCAAAACATTTCAGTAAGGAAAATTTCCTAGGGAAGTCGAACCAAATCAAAATCACTACTGTGAACATCAAAATCACTGCTGTGAAAGAGAAACTGAAAAAATTAAAACCGGTTTGATTACCGAAGGTAGCGTATAGAAATTAAAAAACTGATGGTAGAAACGGAGTCGAATTTCATCATGCAATCAAACTGATTTTGATGTTTTTCACGCAGCGTTTAAGTTATGCTCTATTCACTATCGCACATAATCAAAATATCGCGTATTTTACACAACTCTTCATATTTAAATATTTGATTTCTCATAAAAGTTCATTTTCATTTTAAATTTTTTTTGTAAAAAGCTCGATCCTCAGTGGTGTAGTTAGTATTATAACCTTTTTTTTAAGCTTATAATATTATTGTAAACAGAGAAAGACAGAAACTGTTTTTCTAAATGGATTATTTTCAATAATCTACTTTATTTTAAGTTTTTTTATATTTAAAAAAAAATTTCCAAATGTATTTATATTCTCGCATTTATCTAATTTATTTTTGTTTACTCACATCTGAGAAAAATTTGAAGATCATTTCTTTGGAAGAACATTAAAAAAAAGCGTAAAAATTTGGAAGAATTATCGAAAAATGATCCCCCAGATTTCGACAGTTATTTTATTTTTTTCTAGATAAAATATTAAATTGAGACTCAAATGAGTATACTTTTAGGACTTTAGTTTTGTAGAGGGTTTTAAAAATATATATTAAGGATGGTAATTTTGAAACACAAATTTACAAAAATTAACATTTTTGTCAGTTTACGTACACTTTTAATAATATTTAATCAATAAGAAAGCTCTATTCCTTTAAATTATTGCTGATGAAACAGCGTCACAGAATTTGTTACCAAAAACAGCATTACAGTTTCGAACAAAAACGGCAATATAGTTCTATTATTATAGAACCATAAGAGATTTCAATTAGAATATAATTTTATTAAAAAATTAATTTTAGATTGTTTATATTTTTAAAACGTTAAAACTTTAACTATATATACAATAAAGTTTCTACGGAAATCTAAGTATCAAAGAAGATCATTTGTACCGGAAAATATTTTTTTTTATCTTAGTATTTATATTGTTAGCTATTATATGAAAATATTGCATTATGCATTTTAAACATTTTAGTGCTTACAGTATTTTAAATAACATTTTGAAGTACTTGAACTGCAATGGTTTAAAGCATGAAACTTAATTGCTACTACTTAAAAAAAGAAAAATATGAAAAATTCAGGATGATTGGCAATTTTACCACCATGAGTGACAAGGATAATAGTAATAGTAAAAAAAAAAACATGAAATAAAATTAATAATTTAAGATCTAAAAGTTGGAAATTATAACATTACAAAGCTAGTCACATTGACATTTTTTTTTGAAACATCGGAATGGAAAGTTATCAAATGGTCTAACTTTGAATTTATTACCATATTTTCCGTTTCTGTAAGAAAACTAAAATTATTTTTTTTCTTTGGCATTATCCTATTTTTCAGATACTTATCATATTGATGAGAAATTTATTCAATGTTATTGGTGTTTACGACAATCTATAACAGTTACTATTACCTATAAGCCATGCTAACAATTTTGAAATAAATAGATTATTTTTGCACAGTTAATCAATTCGATATTTGTTTCCTTTTCAGCATTTGCAATTGGAAACAGTTACACAACTTTATTCCTAGCAAGATCTCTTCAAGGTGTCGGTTCAGCATGCACTAGTGTTTCAGGTATGTGCAAGCAATTGTTTCTCAATTACTTTCAAACACCTGTAAGAGTTAGTTCAGCTTGTATTAGTAGCATATGCTGGAGTTACGGGTATGTGCAAGTAATTACTTTTCAATAACTTGCAAACACCCATAAGAGTTGATTCTGCCTGTAATAGTTTTAGGTATGTGAAAGCCATTGCTTTTTAATAACCTCCCTAGAGCTGTAATCGGTGGTTCAGCATGCACCAGTGTTTGTGCAAGGAATTACTTCTCAATAACTTGCGAACACCTGTAAGAGTTGGCTCAGAGTGTACTAGTAGCATGTACTAGAGTTTCGGGTATGTGCAAGCAATTGTTTCTCAATTACTTTCAAACACCTGTAAGAGTTACTTCAGCTTGTAATAGTAGCATATGCTAGAGTTACGGGTATGTGCAAGTAATTACTTTCCAATAACTTGCAAACACCCATAAGAGTTGATTCTGCCTTTAATAGTTTTAGGTATGTGAAAGCCATTGCTTTTTAATAACCTGCCTGGAGCTGTAATCGGTGGTTCAGCATGCACTAGTGTTTGTGCAAGGAATTACTTCTCAATAACTTGCGAACACCTATAAGAGTTGGTTCAGAGTGTACTAGTAGCATGTACTAGAGTTTCGGGTATGTGCAAGTTATTGCTTTTTAATAACTTGCAAACAGCTGTAAGCGTTGGTTCTGCCTGTTCTAGTAGCATGTACTAGAGTTTCATTTTATGTGAATAAATTTTAGTGAACACATGTAATCTAATACAAGCTGGTCTTGCAGTAATATCGGTGAATCTCTCAGAAGTATCTTACACTAAGAGAGTTAAGTTTAAAAACTAAGTTTTATTCTTCAATAAACATTGCGATTTTAAAATGATTTTGAGTTCATAAAATTTCAATTCTGATTTATAGGCATGGGAATGCTTGCTGATATATATCCTGATGACGCAGAAAGAGGAAATGCTATGGCTATTGCTCTTGGGGGATTGGCACTCGGTGTTCTCATTGGTCCTATTTATGGAGGCGCTCTTTATCAATTCGTTGGAAAAGCTGCACCTTTTCTTATTCTTGCAGGTTTAGCAGTAATAGATGGTGGTAAGTTTCAATATATTTTAAATAAAAGGAGTCATTAACCTTTTATTTACAGACGTTTCTTCAAAGTATCATTTTTTTATTTCCAATAAAACAAAGATGATAACAAAAAATATTTTCTTCTGAGCATATATTCACCGTCATTTATAAATGTTGTCTAAAATGGTAAGAGTTGGGGTGGCTCAGGGGATAGAGCAATTACCTCCCAATGAAGTAATCCGGGTTCAAATCACGGCGATGGCTTATTGATACGAATTCCACACACGGCTCGCACGAACCACAATACTGACGTAAGAAATCCTTAATGTGAGACGGATCATGGGATAAAGTCCCCTTGCCATTAGGCTAACCGTTGGAGGTCTTTGTGGTCTTTTTCTCCATGCAACGCTAATGTGGATTGGTTCCATCAGAAAGGCCTCCACGAAGGAAAATATCTCCCAGTACTTGATCCAGGAGTTCCCTTGTTTTCTTCCACTCAGCCACTGTTATAAAATTAAAAATAAAATTACTAAAACATTTAAAGGGTTAAAATCGAAAAACAGTAACGTTTATATATAAGTAACTGAAACTCGACGAAACGAAATATCCTGAGACAAAATTTCTCAACTTGCGCTTTATTCCCATAATCATTTGGACTGGACAATCAAAGTTTGGCGCATTTTATCTGTCTACGGTGACGAAACGAAATTCGATTTTACCCCTTATCTACGGACTTAATATAATTCCATTAATACAATCCTGTTTGCTATTAAATTAAATGGGTATTTACTAGTTCTGACAATTTTACAAAAGTCATATACGTACCATCGAAATATGATTGGTTAAGTCGCTTTCATATAACGGTAAATATGAATGTCTTAGTTCTTTCATAGAAATTTTAATAAAGAAATTATTTTTGCTACAATCTTTTATTTTTAGCTATGGAAGAGGTACTTTTAAATACCGTTAAAAAATAAAGAGGAAACGGCTAATGATTGGCTCGTATTAGCTGCTCTTGTTCTAGTAAACTCAACATCAGCATCTGATTCAATCTAATCATTCATCCAATTGTAAACGAACCCATTTTTCTCTGGTTGATAAGTGGATAAATATTTTTGAAGTAAACTTTTTGTCCCCTTGTCTCCAAACTTTTCGGTATTTGGTATATCGCATAATCTTTAAAACTCTAGTATTTTTTGGTAATGCTTGATTTTTACGATTTCAGCATTACAACTTTTAGTTCTTCAACCAAGAATGAAGAGGCAGGAAGAAAAAGCAGATGAGGGACCATCTCTTTTAACTTTAATAAAAGACCCTTACATAATGCTTGCAGCAGGTAACATGGCTTATGTAATAATAATGTTCAACAATTTGTCAAGATATTACATTTCTAACAAATGATTTTAATTTTTAGGAGCAATTACATTTTCAAATATCGGAATAGCTGTTTTAGAGCCTTCTCTTCCATTGTGGATGATGGATACAATGGATGCATCAAAATGGCAACAGGGAGCAGCTTTTTTACCAGCTAGCATCTCTTATTTAATTGGAACCAATTTATTTGGTCCTCTTGGCCATAGGATGGGAAGGTAATTTTTATTTGTTTTATATGTTTACTTATTTTATTGGAATTAAAGATTGTAAACAAGATTGTAGTACATATTTTCCATCTATTTTTTTCTAATCTATTTTTCCAAAGCACAGACACACGATTTGTTTACATTAACGTTCCTTTTCGAAGTTCTGTCCCCAAGGAAAATTTTTTAAAAAAGCCTTAGTTTAAGTGCACTTAGCACTTGACTGTGTGCACACTTGGTTAAGTGCACTTACACTTGATGCAATTTATTATAATTTAAAACTATATAATCATCTTGTCGTGAAGAATTATCTGGACTTTTGAACGGACAAGTAATTTAATTATTTCCAAAAGTTATTAATTTTTTTAAAAAAATTGCCAATTTGGCGACATTTTCCCTCCTAAATGAAAATTATTAAAATCACTGCTTTATTCTCAGTCTTTGCAAATTTAAATGAACCCAAGCAATGCAGCATTGGAGTAAGTTTTTAATTATTAAAAAATTAGACCGTAAACGTGTTTTAATTTTCACAAAACTGCAATTTTTCGCCATATTTACGTTTTGCTCCATTTCTTAAAATAGTCATAGACAGCACTGGCTTTAGATAAGCTAAGCTTGCCCAACAGTCATAAGTAACTGTTGCAAACTCACAACAGTTATAAAAATAGCATATTATTCGCAAAAAAAGCATCATCACATATGACGACGGAGCCTTCAAAAAACAGCCCTATATAATAAGACGTACGTTCGTTCGACGTAACGTTCGATATGGTGACCCTGGCTCCCCCAAACTTGGAAGAGCGGTAGATTAACCTCTCATACACGCTCAGTATAAGTATGAACTTGGTAGATATATGTGGTTGTCCGAAGAAATCAGTTTTTGAAGTGTGTTCTAAAACTGACGCGTGTGTTCTAGAACTGACTCGCTATCAGAGTTTGCTTCAAACTAGGGCGCATTGCAATGGATACTTTTGCAAAACTCCAGCAAGCCTCTGGAAATATTGTTTGTCAATAGGTCGGTTTTTTCTGTGGTTCGAGGCATTTTCAATAAAAAGGGAGTGCAGGGAGGATTAATCATGTATCAAAAGGACTTCAACAGCAGTAACCAATGTAAATGTTGACAGAATTTGAGTTTTAATGTTTCAAATCATTGGTTGACAGACAGAATTATTGGTGAATTGTTGAATTTGTATCACTTCACCGTTCGCAGGATTTTGAAAAATGAATTGTATTTGAGCTACGAAGAAGGATCCTGCCCCTGGGACAAAACATCGAAAACGGAAAAACGTCTTGTCACGTAGCAATGTCAATAAATGTGTTTTTGGCCAATTATCATATTCCTTTGGCTCTTCAACCAATTTAATCACTTGACTTGAGTCGTTTTGAGCTTTTCTTCGCCCCGAGAATAAAGATTCAATTAATGAATGCCCTTTTGGACACTGAAAAGCACTTAAATGGGCAGAAAAAGCATGTAAAAAAATAAGTGCTTTTAATATTTGTTTATCTTTGAGCGCTGATAGCCACTATTGGCCATCAGTTTGACCTTCTTCGTGGACTCATCACTTAGCTGTTCTTCATTGCTCAATTTGAAACCATGTAGGAAGAAAATAAAGAATGCTCCTCATGAGGTTTATAAAACGAGATAAGGCATTTAATTTTAATTTTCTAGAACAGTTATGGTTGGAATAATTATAGTTACATAGGAACAGTTTCTCCATAGAGAAAACTGTAGTCAAATATTTTTCTAAACCTTCATCTATATGAATATTATTAACATATGTTACCGTTAAAGTATATAATGCAGTTATTTCATAGAATACCTAGTTATTCCATGAAATAACTGATCGCATCCGTTAAAGTGTGTAATATGTTATTAATTTGACACTTTAACTAGTTATTCTATGAAATAACTAGGTATTCTATAAATTAACTAATGAGAAATAGTTAAAGTGTAAAATAAACAATTTATCTAAAATGAAATAACTAGGTATTCTATAAATAAACTAATGATAGACAATTAAAATAAAAAAGAAGCAATTTATCTAATTAATGCAACGTATAAATGGTATTTATGGAAACGTACCATAAAATCATTTGTTACAACAAGGATTACTAAAATGACACTTGGAATTACAAAGAACATTATTTCTAAAACAAAAAAATTTTTTGTTGACACACTGAGTTTTACACGAACATTTTTTAAATCCCTGACCAGTACCTAAACTTTGAGCTGTAGCATATAGATTATTTTACACTTTAAAAGGCTGCAGATCGTTATTCTATGAAATAACTAGTTAAACCATGAAATACAAGAGAGTTTTACACTTTAACGGACACGATCAGTTATTTCATGGAATAACTAGGCATTCTATAAAATAACAGATTTCATACTTTAACGGTAACATATACATTAGGATCGCATAGAAATCCGATTATATTCCTAATTAATATCTAATTTTTCATTACAGATGGCTGGCAGCTATGATAGGTTTAGTAACTATCGGCGTTTGCTTAATGTGTGTAAGTATTTTTAAGTAGTTAATCAAAGAAACATTTGTTTTTAGAATATAAAATTATTTATTGCATATCTTGTTTTAATTTCAGGTTCCACTGGCCAAATCAGTAGAAGATTTAATACCGGCCAATGCTGGAATCGGATTCGCAATTGGTAATTTTGTCTTTGCAATAAAAATAAAAGAATATCAACAGTTAGTATACTCCAGAATTGTCTTCAGATCAGTCCGTCATCAATAGCCAATTAGTGTAGCTTTAGTACGATAATAGAGATTTTGGCTGGTTCGTCTAACGTTAATCATAACAATAAACTTATTCTACCCCTTAGCAACACTGCGATTTGTACTGAGATTTTCACGCATGCGCTGTGAAGCTCGAATAACGTTAACGTTTGTGTTGGGAGGAAACGTAACGCTTTGTAAAATCCCTTAATCCAAATCCAATCGATAGCTTAGCCTGAAATTTTCTTACATTTTTAGTCCCGCAGTGGACTAATGGTTGAGACACGCTTCCCAGCAAATCACCGAAGTCAAGCATCACTGTCTGCGGTCAGTGTGCGAATGTGTGACCACTTGGATCAGTCTGCTTAGGGACCGAGGGTGTGCGGTATTGGTCCTCGTTAAACTGTTCTACCGTAAAGTGCTCGACTTCACGTGCAGTTCGTCGGGCTACCGAAGAGGGAGTGCAATCTCCTCTGCAGAGGATTAAAACTGTGATGGCATGTCTTCGGATCATCCTCAGGGATGCTTCCCAGACCGTCGCCAATAGCCTACTGTGCAGCCTAGTGTGCGTTTCTTGTTTTTCAGTGGCGCCATCTGTGACCAAGAATTCGACTTCTGCCACACCATACGTCGCACCCGTTTATAGGGCAAACCCATTCATACATTCATCCACAGATCGTAATTTTGACCTGAATCAGAGAACGATCGATCTCCAACCCAGTACCCCCAGAGGTATTGATTTGTTATGGGAACATGGAGGACTTTTGCGACTCGACAGATTTAACGTGCATCAGTCACTTTACTATACGGGGAGTTTTCGGCCGGCTGGGTTCGAACCCACGAACTCTCGGACATGGGTTCAGCGCCCTACCGACCAGGCTATCCCGGCCCAGAAAGGTTTATACAATCTGAAAATGAATTGGTCTCTTGAAAAAAATTTTTCGTTTGGGTTTTTATTTTCAAACGGTTCTTACTTAAAAAACAACCCTCGTATAAACTTTTATAATTTATTTTATAAACAATCATCAAATTTTATATTTCAATTTTAGGAATGGTTGATTCATCAATGATGCCCATGCTCGGATATTTAGTTGATCTCAGACATACATCAGTATATGGGTGTGTTTATGCCATAGCCGATCTTGCATTTTGCTTAGGATTTATTATAGGTAAATATTTACTTCATTTTTAATTTGCTATCGTGTATTAACAGAAATCCGTTCGGCATTATTTTCAACGAATTGACCAAATACCAATTTTGTTAATATCTTACAATTTTTTGCTTCTAATGCACAGAAAAAATGAAACATCATTGATTAAATCAAGTGTTGTAGCACTAAAAATGAAATAAAATATTTATCGTGACTTTTATTTAAAATTTTACTAGCTTTGTCTTGGGATCGCAAAACTTAAATACGCTAACAGGAGGGTTCCATGTCTGTAGCCTCTCTCTATCTCGCATCTCTTCTGTTGAGATGCATGGGAATATATTAACCCTTCCATAATACTTTTTGCATTTATAATGTCTAAAATATATCTCAAAATTTCCTATTTGCTTACTTTATGCTATACGTTTAATGCTGTTTTAAGTTCCACATAGTTTCCAAACGTATAAAATTTTTCAACTAAAATTTTTCAAAACAGAAACTAACAAATAACTATTCTTTATTTTATTTTATTAACTGTGTTAAACAGCTGACCCAATTCTTAGTTTACTACTATCAATATTCGACTCAATAGCCTTTTAATTTTGAACCCAACATAGAAGACAAGGGAACTCCTGGAACTTGTATTGGGAGAAATTTTTTCCTTCGTAGAGGCCTTTCTGAGGGAACTAACCGGCATTAGCGTTACACAGAGAGGATAACAACGAAAATCTCCCACGGTTAGGCTGACGGCTAACCACGGGAGTTTTTCGATGGGAGGTGAGCGCTCTATTCCCTGAGCCAACACGCCACTTACAGTATTAGTTAACATTATATTTCATAAAAGACGGGGAATATGAATGTCTATAAATGCTCATAAGGAAATAACTTTTGCCATCACCCTTGTTTCTTTGGAAATAAAAAAATAGTACTTTGAAGAAACGTTTACGACTACTAATGTTCAACTCCGGAGCATTGTAATTTTGAATCCGATCCAGAAGACAAGGGAACTCCCTTATCAAGTATTCGGACATTTTTTGATTGAATTAACCTGCATTTGCGTTACACCCATGGGGAGAAAAACCTCGAAAACCTCTCTCAATTAGCCCGTTGGCAAGGAGATTCTAGCCTATGATCCGTCTACAACTGAGAATACTTTACGTCAGCACTGTGTTTGGTGCGAGCGAGGAGCAGAATTCGTAACAATTAGACACTTCAGGGATTCAAACATGGGTCACCTCATTTTGAGGTAGGCGCTCTATTCCTTGAGACTCTGTAACTCTTCTATCTACTCTTATGATTATCCACACGCTAATGGGAAATGCATGCCTACTGCTACCACACGTATGGAGCTTGCGCCACCTGTAGCCTATTTTGTTTGCCAATAACAATATGTAGTACAACAGTATTTGTCAATTAAGTACCTATATAAATTTTGTGGCCAGTCGTAAATTAATACAGTATAAAGTTGAATTCTACGTTTTTTGTACACATAATTTTATTTGAATAGACCACTAAAAACAACAATTATACACTGCCGCCTCTGAAAACATCAGTTGCAATGACTAGGTACTTAAACACCAAATTTCATTGAAATAAGATTAAACTACAATAAAATAAGATTAGATTGCACTAAAATAACATTAAAATAGAAAGCGATGAGTTTTAAAGTAAGATCTATTCTTATGGAGCAATTTAAGTTGAAAAAGTTTGCCAATATATATAGAATGTTCCATAATCACTACCCTTAATCTATAGAATCTTTGTCTACATAATATGCAGAGTCCTATACTTAGAGAACCCTTATCCGTGGATGTCAACCCATAAGTCCAAGTAATTTTATCAAAATCATACAAACCATTATCGAGGGAGACACGATTAAAACCACCGAAACTGTTATCCAAAAGAACGAAAGAAGAGGTGAAAAAGGATTATCAGAAACGGGTTTTCATGTTTTTGACTTCAACTTTCACACTAATGATTCGTAAGATTTTAAAATGGCATTTATTTTTTATCACTTAAAAATTAATTTGAGAGTAATAAGCAAAGGTTTAGACATTGGCTCTTAAAATAAACAGGGTGTTCTGTAAAGACCAACATTAATGTACATTTTTAAAAATCAAAAAAAGTCTACACACGGGGTCTTAAATTATTATTTAAGAGGGGAAAAACAAAACGGTTATCGAAATTGGACAAATTACAGTAAAGGAAGCGTATACAGTAAACATCAAAACGAGTTTAATTGGAGGTGGAAGCTTGTTTCTAATAAACGTCGTTTAATCTCTTTATGCTTCCTCCCGCAAACTTATCTTAATATTTATTATGTCTGCTTTCTGTACTGTTTGCCAGATTTCGAAAGCGTTTTTGTTTTTTCATTGTTAAATGTTAATTTGCAACCCCAGAAGTGTTGTTACCCCTGTTTTTTTGTCACTTTTGATAAGGATTTTAAAAATACATAATTAAGGGCGGTATGTACGGAACACTCTGCATATTGAAGGTGTTCATAATGAACCACTCTGTATACAGAATATGTGCTGATTCTATATAACTTGAGCCCTTACAACAATTTACAAGAGAGATCTGAGCCCCTTCAATAATTCCAGATTGCATCGTTTCTTAATTTTGTTTCTTCGCAATCTCTCAGAAATTTGAATGTTTTAAGTATTAACTAAAAACTTCATTCAATCATTTGTAGTAATCTTAAACACTTCAAAGCAATGAGCAACGCTTCAAAATACAAATTCAGAATTTTTTTTTTTAATTAAAAAACAATTTACACAATATAAAAAAAAATTTTCTTCTAATTCTTTTAATTTATAGAGCAGAGAGAAATGCCTATACACAAATAGCTACTTCGAATCAAACTAGGCTAGGGAATAAAAAAACGTTCCTGAGATTTATTGGAAGTTGGCTATAATATATTTAACAGCTAGTGTTCACTTAGAGTATATTTTCTGTTTTTCAGGTCCAGTGTTCAGTGCAACGATTGTTCAACGATTTGGATTCGAAGGGTGAGATTATTTTAAATTAACACTGACTTTTTCTAATACAAAAAGAATATTATCGCATAATAGGACGGTAATATATTAACGTTTAAAAGTAAAAAAAAATTAAAAGATGTAAATTAAAGATTGTACCCTCTCTGCACCCAGAAAAGGAACTAAAATCTTTTCCTCTTATCAAAGAGCTTTTCTGAATAATGGTTACTATTTTTCATAGATCATAACAGGACATACTCTGCTCTAATGCAGCAGCGGTTGAGGTTATTTGAAGATTATTACATATCATGAGTCAGAGCTGACTTTACGTCAGAAGGGTTCTGGGTTCGAATCCCGGACAAGGCATGGAAGTTCTTTCATTCTCTGTACTATCTGTCCCTACTGTGGAAGCAACATCAACGCTGACCCACCTAAAATGGTGCCCAACAAATCTGCCCTAATAAGCTTGAATTGACAAATGTCAATCCAGTTGGGCATTGGAAAAAAATACATCCTATGAGTTTAAAAATTATTAACTTAGATTTTTAGCCTCAAGCTGCCCTCATGTTATGCAACATTATAGTAATTGATGAAGTGCAATAGAAATAGATATCAAAAATATCATCAGTGTTAGCACAGTGGTAAAGGCAACAGGCTGTCACTGCAAAAAATCAGATTCTATCCTCAGACGTGGATTGAATCCACGTCTGAGGTCCAATACAGCTTCTAAATGATGATTACCAGTTTATCTATAAAATAAAGGCCGCTGGTATGCAAAGCTGACTGCACATTGGCATCATCGTGCTGTTCGTTTCAAAATTGTAGAGCCTAAGTCTTCGTGACACCAATGGCGGAGAGACTGCTGGGAAAGTGCCTTGCAATTACTGCCAGGAATAGGTAAAAGAAATGTACCAGGTCCAGAAATTACTCCAGTTCCGGATACCAGGCAGTGGTGTAACCAGGATTTCATTTTCAAGGTGGAGGGTCTAAGAAATTTTAGTTAACTATGATGGAGATCTTATGAGGCAAGTAAAGTAATAAGTAAATAAAGCATCAGTAATTTTAAAGAAGTCGTATATTTAAAACACGATTTCTCAGAAACTATTCAACCGATTTCACTTAAATTTTGTATTTTGCCATGTAAAATTAGATACTTTAAAATGACGTAAAAATGTAGACATTACAGTTCAAATTTTTTCGAGTATTATTAAATAAAAAATAATAAATATTTACTATTTTTTTTCTGCATGGAATTATCTTTGGATATATAAATTTTATAATTCTGAGCAACAAATTTTCAATTTGCTTAAAAAGTTCTCGAAGATATGGCGAAATACGCAGAGAATAAAATTAACATTAGGGGGTCCAAACTTTGAATCGCTCTCCTGACCAAACTGTTAGGGCCATATTTCCCAGCTTGCGGCTACCCCTTAAATTTCAGAGTTTAAAAATCCGAATCCGTAACGTGCCATTTTTAAAAATCCGAGTCCGGATTTTTAAAAATGGCACGTTAGTTCCGAGAAAGTACGTTATTGTGTTTGATTTCATAACATAAAATATCGTCAGCACTGATTAATTAGCATATTTGAGGTCACCCCCTCGAACCATTAAGATGGAGTCCTAGAACGTGAAGGTCCGATCATTAGATCAAAAGTTGTTCAGGGCAGTTCGTTTATTTTGGTTCACTGTACATCAGACAGACAATTGGATCATCAATTGGAAATTAGACAGTCAAATATTCAAAAAATTCAACAAATATTTAATTTTATAATTGGCATTGTTAATTGATAACATATCTGAAATTATAGGATTATAAAGGTAACTAGTAGTCATGAAAGTTTGGAGACATTAAAATATTTATTACATGTTAAACTTTAACCTTCTTGTGGTAAAGCATTTTATCAAATACGGATTTCTCCGATATATACCAATTCCCTATCAAATAAAATGAGACCGTTGAAGTATTATGCAAGTAAATATATATAAATTTTTGACAATTTTAGACTCTCTTTTCACCATAAATAAGTAAATTGCAAAGCCCCATCATGCGTATAGAAACCCCCTTTATTATGCTTCAATTCATTTTATAAAATTTATTATTCTTTAGAAATCTTTTGCGTTTTCGTCCTGTGGTCGAAAATCCTGATCTCCCTGTTAGATGCTTACGCAATGTTTAAACGGCTCCAAAGTGATTTTGCTAAGTGGGAAAGTAAGCAGTTCTACGTGAGTAGCCGCCAGTACGTTAAGTTTTTGGAAAAACACATTTAAGCTTTAAATATAGAACTCAGTTATTTCTCTATGTACTCGATTTCAAAAACATTTAAGAATATCTTATCCATTTTATCACAGTATATTTGCAATTATAAATACCTCAAATATTCGTTAAAAATTACACTCCTTTTTTAAATTAACTTAATTTTATTTATTGCAGAACCGTTTATGCAGTTGCATTATGCAGTTTATTGTACGCACCGCTAATGGTTTTACTGAGGAATCCTAAAGGACGAAAAGAGTTACAGGTAATTATTCTATAAATACACATCACATAAAAAATATATAAGTAATATGAAGTATCATGAAAAACCAATATGTTTCTATTTATTGGCAGTTTTTTCATTATTTTTTTATTTTTTACGAATGAAATGCTTATAGTAATACAGGTTTTAAGTATATTTGACACCAAAGGTGTTTATATTTTGAAAAATCTTTTAATTTTGAAACAAGGATTTAATAAGGAATAACTTGAACGAATAATTTACATCTGAAAAGGGTTGTCTAGAATATGCTTTGATTATTTTTAACTTTTCAACCCTTTTAATCCCCAAAACACCTTCTCTTTGATATCACTACTAATTACCACTAAATACATTTTTGTCTTTTATCAAAACATCCCCAATTTTATATAATAAAATTAATTTATGTATTAAATATGAACCTCTTGAAAATGCATATTGATTAAACCAAGTCGATTATTCTGCCAATTAAATACAAATCATAATTCTCATATGACAAAATCTGACAGTATTTTTATTTCTGTCAAAGCTACCCGAGCACTTAAAGTGTGATATTTTATTTTTAAATTTATCCACAGGATTAACATAAGAAAAATGTTGCAATTTAAATGCAACATATTTATTCAGAGAAAATAAGAAAACGTAATTTCTGCAAATGCTTTTAACTCACAGTTTGAGATAGATAAATGTGAACAAGCAAGTTTAAAAAAGAATTTCATAACATTGTTATAGGTAACAGGATCAATATGGAGAGCAAAGTAATAAGAGCAGAGCAGATTAGTTCTTGAACGTGTCTAGTATATATTATGCCTTTACCCCCAACTTTCTTATTTGAGAGTTAGCAAAACAGAGATTCAAGAAGAGTTCATAAGCAAAAAGAACAAATTTGTCCTGACTTTTCCAGGTTAATTTTCTTAAGATTCAAGTTTTTTTTTAACGAAGTTTATATTTAATGGAAATATAAAGTAAATTCAACAAGCAGCACAATATCTTTGACTTAAACCAAATGGTTAAAACTAATTATTTAAATTATCAAATTTTCTAAAAATAAAATATCAATTTGAAATATTAATGTTAAAGTCAATAATTTATTATCCTTAATAGATTTTCATTGGTGTGAATAAAAAATATATTTTTAAAGCAATGAAAATAATTTCAAGTTTTTAAATTAACCATTTAAGCAGAGTTTTAAATCAATAATATATTTATATACATTGTATTAAGAAATTTCACCTGTATTAAAACTTATTTTACCCCAAAATAATTTCTTATAAAAAATAATTTTTATTAATTTTCATAATTCTTACCTAATAGTAAAAAGTTATTGAATTTTAAAAAGTTTTAAATTATAAAATAAAAAAACAAAAGCACTTTATTTCATGTGCAAAAAAAGGAACTGAAATTAATCGGCTAGTTAGTTCCATTAAGTAATTTAAACTAGCTTAAAAGTATTTTTAATAAGACATATTTTAAAATGTTATTTCTTAAGAACCATAAAAAGGGAAAATAAAGAAAGCTCTTTGACATGTCCTACAACTTATTATAGAATTTCCAAAGTTTCAGGAAATAGTTTTTCTAAATGTAGCAAAGTAAAGTATGAACACAGTAGAACCTTAATCAATCATTTCTCATGGTAAAAGAAATTATTTGTAATGAATTGGAACATGTTTATGGAATTATTACTATGCATGATTATAGTTGTATAAATTTTATTACATGTGAAATTTTTTGTTTAAAACATGTCTTTTGAATCACCTGAAAGATACTTGTGTAAAGTTAGCCAGATTAAAATACATTAGAATTAGTAGATTTATAATGTATGTTTTGGACAGTGTTTTAGTGTAAACCAGCCATATCCAGTCTTTTTTTCTTTTGTTTTAAAATTTTCACTTGATTTTTTTAAGAAATAAACTTAAGTTTTTGAAACAATTTAATATTAGTAACAAAAACATATTTAAAGGTTGTTTGCATGTTTACAATATAATTAGAGAAAATTTAATTTTATTTGCAGCCAGTACTTGAATCCAGTTCTTCAAAATATGCTTTACAAATGGATGATGATGATGAAACTGAAGACGACGAAATTTTAAAAAAACTTAAAGACCAACCTAATTGTTATTGAAAGTCATAATTCATTTTATTCTATGAATGTTCTGAAAAATATCTTGGTAAAACAAGTAATAAAATTAACTCAATAAAATATTTCCTTGAAATTAATAAATACATCACACTATAAAACAATTTCTTTTATTACATTATCATGTAATTCCAACATACATAGATCATTACTTAACAATATTAAATGCTTATCATATATTTTTAGTATAAGTAGTTTTGATTTTTAAGGCAGCAGATAAGTGAAACAATACATTAAATTTCAGACTAGATAAAATTTAAAAGAGATGAGATAAAGAAAATCTATTTAAAATTTTATACTTATAGTCATTTTTAAACAATTATAGAAGTGAATAACAAAATGTACAAAAGAATTAATAAAAGAGCGTTAAATTTAAATATAATTCATATTGGCCAATTGTTAGAAAAATATAGAATAGTACATCTTGAAAACATCAAAAATATTTACATTTTAAGAAATTGCATTAAATAAAGATACTTTCCTCTTATCTTCATACTATAAATTCACTAATAGTATACTTTAAATGCAATAAGAAAACATTAAATACATAAATTTAAGCACATTAAATAAAAAGATAACTGTCATAAACTATATCATATACTTTGTAATTATTACAGAAAGTTTTAAATCTAATTTATGCTGAAAAATAATTGTCGAGAAAAACAAAGACTACAACTTTTTCATAATATATAAAAAGGATATATCTTAAGAAACTAAATAAAAACCAGTATAATTTTTTTTCGCTAAAAACTTTCACTTTCACTAGCAACTTATTTTAAATACTTTTTACTAACTTTTAAAAAGACATTTAAAACATATACTTAAGTATGTTAAAAAAATTAAAAAAAGAGTGTGTTTAATTTAGTCTCAAAACATTTCATAACACTATAAAAAATGAAAATAAAAAACAGTGTAACTCTCAGAATTTCTAACACATTATTTAACTTTTAATACTAAATGTACAAGTATTTGAAAATGCTAACTATTTTTACTCTAGTAGTTTATTGGGAATACAGAATTAAGAAATGATAAAGCATTATAACATTGAATATAACGCATCACAGATAAAATAAACCAAAAAACTTTTGTTTGATATGTAGTTATTGTTATATCTTTAAAGTATTAAGTTCAATAAAAAAAAGTATGGTAGAAGCTAGGTATAGAGTAGTGAGTTGTGTTAGAAAATATTAAAAAATAAATAATATTTAAATTCCAATAAAAGAGAAATCTGCGGTTAAATCAGAATTAAAGATTGCCAAAGTTTACCAAAAAGTTAAGAAATTGTTAAATTTTAGAATTAAAGACAGCAATTCATTTTTCATTCAACCAGCCAGCAGTATACCATAAATACAAAATTTTGTGAAAATGCTTTTAAGGTAACGTAAAAACAATATACTATTTTAACTTAATGTAGCTTTAATTTTTAAAATTATTCTTGCATTATGTTGGACTAATGTACTGAAAAACAACGCATATCTTACAGATACTATATGCCAGAGTAGGTGCATCATCCTTTTAATGCAGGGATCTTTAAGATGTGGCTCCCTGAGTTATTTCACCCAGTTAAAAACAACAGAAAATACTAAGACTTTAGAAGATAAGCAGTTGTTATACTTAATAAATTCAATCTTTAGCAGAATTCCTACTCGCAAAAATCACAATTTAATGCTAAAATTAACCTTTTCCTCTCTTGCTAATGAGCTTCTTTTCCTATATATAATATATTAAGTTTGTTGCAAACAGAGAGGAAAATAGATAATATAAGATAATTTGAATTAACATAACACCAACATAATTTGACACAAAAATGAGCTAATTTCCTTCTTTGCTAATGAATTACTTTGTCTATTTTATTTAGTATTGTATCAGTTGAATTATTATTTTATTCAGTCTCAGACAGTAATGAAAATGGATAAAATATATTTATTATATTTTGAATTGATTTCAGTCTATAATGTAAGACTAAGACGACACTAATCATAAATTTACGCAAAAATGAACCGATTGCCTGAATATTTAAATGAATTGTTTGCCTGCTGGATTAAATTAACTGTTCGCCTGCACGTTTACCTGAAAGTATTAATGTGCCCATCAGGTGGAAGACTCCTGATTTAATGCATCCAACAGAGTGAGTAAAAACTATATAAAAAGAGAATACTTATCAGAAATAAAATTTCATACCAAATGATGCTTAAACAAGGATTAAAAAATAACAGAAAAGTATTAATGAACTTTACATAACATTAACAAAACTAATGCAACTTTATATTTAAAAGAAATCAATACTTAAAAATTAAATCTTTTGATTTTATTCAAAATCTAAAACACGAGAAAAGTATTTTTTATTCCATTATTAGTTACAAAATTAATTTTAAAAACACAAATTATAATTAAATTTAAACCAAAATTATATAATTTTTTTTCTATTTACAATGTAGGTCATTTTTAAAAAATGAAGAAAATTAAATATAAGTCAAAACTCAATGATACCAATTTCTTCAGTAAAATTTATGCACTTATTTAAAGAATAATTAGAATACTGAATAGCTATAATTAATAGCTGAAAACGGTGTTAATGCTCAAAACATTACATTTAGAAATGTAAGAATTGATATTTGACGCAAGTGGAACAAAAATTTTGAAATTGAAAGTCAAACAAGTTTTCTTTTTGTTAGAAAAATAAATATAAAAACTGACACAGTACGTAACACCAAAACAAATATTAAATTTTTTTTTAAAATTGTTAAACATAAACTAAAATTTTCTGTTGAAAGCAAAGGAGTATAAGATTTTAACTTTATATTAATTTAAAGTTAAAATAGTTAAATTTTTTAGTTACTGACACCGATTAAAAAAAATTGTTACATCATAAATAATGTCCATCACTCATTATCGTCAATGAATATTATCTTTTAGAAAACAAAGGTATTAATATGCTTAACACTTCTAATTGTACATTTCTTGGTATAAATTTTATAGCAAAAAGAAAGAAAAAAGAGAGAGAGAGAGAGAGTGCGACAGAGAGAAATTCTATCATTTATATACAATGATTTGTCCAAATACTTTCTTCTAGTTTACAATTAATAAAAATATAAATCCACTGACAGCCATCAGTATTATATAGGCACATAATAAAAATCTTTTTAGATCCTTAACACAAGATCAACAACCATTCTCTCTTTAAACTTGTTATGAGAATAAAATAAACAGCATGTTGCATAAACTAGTGCAAAAGCTAAAGCAAATGTTAAATCTTTGGATTCTACCATTTGGAAAAAAAGGGTAGTAAAGCTCTGCTTCTCGACGCTCACAGCATTTAACACAGAAATGCTTTCCTTGTAACAAAATAAGGCAGGTATCACATTTTAAATGCTTGTGCTACCTAAAAGAGAACCATAAATTAAAATACAATACACAAAAACTAGAAAGAAATAGACAGATTGTGTATGTTTTTCAAAATAGAAATACAAATTTCGGAATAATAATACATATTTGTACAAAAGAAAGAAAATAAAGAAATGTGAGTAACCTGAATTCATAAAAAGAAAATTAGCTTTCAATTTCATCAGTGCCACTAGAATCCTTTCATGCAAAGTCATAGGTCACCTCAATTCAAGCAACTCAGAGCTTAGCATTTTGAATAGTTGGAATTTTTATTTTATTAAGAATCATCTCATAAATGAACATACTTTACAATATTTAGGTGAAATAACTGCTAAACAAAAACTGCATAATAATTTAGCTAATTAGAATTTTTATTGTTACAAATGTAGCAGATACAAGTCAAAGAGACACAATAACTGTCATAAACNCTTCAACATAGATTTTCCTAGCTACAAACTTGTATGGTTGTTGAGGGAACATTTTTTTAAGTGGCAACAAACATGTTTTCATGTATAAACCTTAGACTTAAAAAAAAAAAAAAAAAAAAAAAGAGATCCATTTGAGCCACAAAGACATAATAATCCAGTTTATAAGAACAATCAGTTAACCCATCAATTGCCAAGTCTCCCATTTTTGAAACCTCTGATTAAGATTTTATTTTTCAATATTGTGTCTACAATGATAAGCAAAAGCCTCCAATCGCTATATTTTTTTTAGCTTTTTCGGTCTTTGGCTGCTTAAATGGGAGAAAAACAAATTACAATATTTTTGTGTTCAAAAGTACCAGGCCAGATATAGATTTTAAATTAATTGAAATAAATTTTATAAATATAAGTTGAAATTTAATAATTCCGTAATAATTATTCAGTTTACATAAACATAGAAATGTGTCTTTGGAGTTACATTTATGTATAACAAAATTATCAGAAGAAAGCATATTCTTCAATGAAACTTTGTTTTAAGTATTATTTGGAAAGTCAACTATAAATGACCTGATTACTAGCAATCAAAGTGGATATGGTTTAAAATGTAAACCTAAAAGTGATCGACAGTGAAAAACAATGAAGAAAGACATCTGTATAATAAAAAAGCAAATAAATGTAAAATATCAAGAAAACTGTAACTCAAATTGCACTGAAGTTAAAAAAGAATTCTTCATATTTACTGCAATATTGTTACAAGATATTTACATAACGTAAAATTTCATGGACAAATAGTCATAAAAAAGCCATTAATTAGTTAAAAAATTTCAGACCGCTAGGTTAGTTTGCCTTAGTCTGGAATGAAACTTTTGAACAAGGAAATATTGCAGTCTTTTCCTTTTATGTTTACAAATCTTAATACATACGATAATAAATAAGTAATAATGCGATAATTGAATTTGGTTATAACAATGATTAAAAAAAAATATTTGTTTTTACTCTTTTAAAAAGCCAAAATCTGAATATTTTTTTAAGAAAGTTAACAGACAAAACTTTTGCCCTCTACTGTATTTCGATGTTTTTTTCAATGAATACTAATGGTATTAATCTTTATTGGCATTTTGTACAAAGAATTTGCAATGTAATTTCTATATTTAACAATTTTTCAGACTTATTCAAAAATATATTTAATATTTTAATAGGAAAATAAAGTCCATGAAATTATTAATTCTTGTTAGGGAGTTTATAAACATTGTATATAAATAACAATAGCCCAGTTTAGCAGCATATCTGACAGAGGCCTAGAAAATTATTTTATAGAGGTTTTTCTGCTTGGTTTAGAAAGGTCCCAAAGTTTGAGTCTTCGGATGAGTAAAATAATGGCATGCTGATCTTTAAAGTCAAAATTACAAAAATAAACATTAGAAAGTTGAAAATAATTTCATATTTTATAACCTCAGCACATAATATAACATTTGTATAAAATTATATAATACCAGAGTTGCCACTCAAATCTGAAAAAAAAAATAATTCCATTTACAAATCATGCACAATATATTAAGAGGAAACACTGTACTCTTGTGTGTCCTATATTAGGCTAACTATACTAGTTTAATAGCTGGAAAAACTTAAAGATATAAGGAACAGGTTAACATACTTAAAACAAATAATGCTATAGTAAATTAAATAGTTTAGTATAGCAGAAATATCATTCTCAAAAATCTCATAGAATGCACATTGAGTTTAAGAAACAAAAATGAGAAATGAAATTCCCTGTATTTTCCCAGTTTGTAAGGAAAAACTCAAATTCCCTGCATTTTATAGGTTTTCCCTGTGGAGTGGCAACTTTGAATACTTGTTATGCATAACCAGCATTGAAACATCTGCATAAATACATAAAAGGCAATTGTTTTTAAGTGAAATTTATATCTTCTATAGAGTCTAAGCATAGCAGTGATTCAGACTCCAGCTAATCACTGAAGTACTAAGAAAAAGTATAATTAATTTTGCTTTAATCAAGGAGAAATGACAGAAACATAAGGAAATATATTCGGTTGAATAAAACATATATTTAAAATGAATGTAATGCTAAGAACTTTATTTAAAAAGACTTACACCTAATTTTAAACTTGTCCATTCAGCAGAAACATATATGTTTGAAGAAAAAAAAACTTAATATGCACTTAAACTTTCATATTCCCTCTCTTCAGGATCAACAGAAAAAAAAAGTAGACATGTTAATTTTTGAAACTGACTTGAGTCAATTTAATTTAAAATTATTTTTTTTCAATAGAAGCATTCACTATATATTAAAAAAAAAATATGAAACCTTAAGCTGGTTTATTTTTTTTTATTACTCAAGTTCTATATTTGTGCACTGTGTTCAAATGCCCATAAAAAATTTACATTTAGTGAAAAATTCAACATTCCTTGCATTATTTGGGGTATTACATTATAATTCATCGGTTGGGATAAAATTACTTTTTACAAACCTTTTGGTTAACTTTTAAGTATAAAGATGTTATTCAGAAACAAATAAAACTAAAAAAATTATTTAAATGGGGAGAAAAAAAAAACGATAAAAAGTGCATATTATTTGTGTTTTTGAGCATTTAAAAATTTTGATAAGAAAAAAAAAAAGGACATTTTGTTTCATTCTACCCTGTCCCCTTCAATAGTTCCTATTATTCATAAGTGGTTTAGCCATGCTTGCTTCTGACTTACAAAATATACATCTTTTTGGTGAAAACAAAATCATGTCTTGTTTCTAGCATTAGAACAAGATACTATAACAGGAACAATAACCAGTTTTTTATTTTTAGTTGTAATAACATTTTTTCAGGATTGAGTTTTCAATAAAACAAGTAGAACTGGCTTGGCGATTCATGCACTTTTAAACATACATCTAAATAAAATCTTGCTTTTAGCCTAAGTCTTTAGGAAAAATGCTTACTGTGAAACTTTTTTTGACTAAAATGATGATTTTTATGAATATACTTTTGACTTCAAGTAAAAACTATCTGGAAGGTAGGAGAAAAAAACATAAAAAATATAGGATTTTTTTAAAAAAAAAAAATTCAACTGGGCATAACATATTAAATAAAAAGTCATTATTATAAATGTGCATTTTGTAACATTTCTACATGAAAACAATTATAAGCTTACTTATTTCATTAGCACTACTTTGATTAGGGTGTATATGGAGGAGGTGGAGGTAGATTGTTCAAATATGCAGCATTTTGCTCATGAATATGAGACCATGATTGTGAATGTGGCAAACCAATGGAAAATGTTTCTTCCTGATGATCGTCTAATAGCATAGAAACATCATTACTTCTAGTAAGATGATCACATCTAAAAAGATTTGCAGCAGTAGCTAAGACAGCTATTATTCCAGCAGTAGCTACCAAATAGTAACTAACACCAAAAGTAATTTCTACTCTGGTGGTTGGGTATAATTTTGTAAGTTCTTGTTGTTGCTCCATTAGATCTGACACATAGTAGCAAAGACCAATGATTGTCACAATTGAAATTACTACAAAAAAGAAAGAAAGCAAAAAAATTTTATTATAAAATCATACTAGTATTAAATATTAACAATATGTTTGATAATAATAATGGATGATATTTTGTTTGGAAGTAACCTAGTTCATCCAGGACATTGGAAGAAAGTACAGAACAACAGAAAGAAACTACACAAAATGGGGAAAAAAATTACAATTGACTTATACAGTTATTTAAGGATAACTAATAAGTTTTAAACATTAAAATTTAAAAACATGCAGCATTCATTTTTTTAAAATTCCTATTATTTATTTTAACTTCATGCAAAAATTTGATTTCTATATAACCTATTATATAAATTTCTCTTCAATTTTTTAATTCTGTCATTCTTATTTTCTTAAATAAATAAGTACACTTATATCTAGATAATTATGTACACTTCTTTCTAGATTAATTATGTGCACTTAAATTATTTTCAGTTTACTGAATAATTTATTTAAAGATAGATTTATGTATAAAATAAAATAATATTAAAATTAATTCAAAAATTATTAATTTGTTAAAATTTCGACAAACGGTCGAATTTTTGTAGCAAGTTTTTTTTTAGTATTTTTAGATATTCAGAAAATTTAAAATAAAAAAATATAAAAAGCTAGAAATCTAGCAAAGGGCGGAAAAGTTTCATTCCTATGTAATATGGATTTTTTACAGCTTTCAATTCAGCTGAAGTTAAAGTTTTATTACAACAGTCAATTTTTAACTTTTGTATTAAAATACTTCCAATGATCCATGCTTGTCCTGATTTCAATATGCTTCTTTTTTCTTCAACTATTGAAAATATTCTCCTGGCGGCATTACTTTGAGGCACAACATGAATTGCTAAAAACACTTTCGTACTTGATATGTATTTTAGAATATCATTAATTGTGAACTTATTTTAAACCAAGCACAATTTAACCTTTTGGGGAAAATGTTTGATGCTTATTTTTAATAGTTAACTTAAATTTTAAAACCTAAAATAATGCTTTTAGATTTTAGTTGTTTTTATGGCTGAGCACAAGACAATTAATAAAATGGATAAAAATACAGTGAATTTACCAGAAAAAATACTGCCAATAGCACATCTTCTGGTACAGTGTATAACATGATTTTTAACACCTGTAATGTCAAAATAAAACTGGCAAAAACTGAAGAATATTGTTAGGAAACATAAGCCAATATTAACTCTCTGTACAGTCACGATGGTAGGAGTAAGACAATTCTTCATGTCTGTAAAATATAAAGGATGCTATTATTGTAAAATGATAATTAAAATACTTCAAGCATTTTTGAAATAAATAAAATATAACAATCAATTTTTAGGTTTACAATTCAAGTCACAATACAAATGTTAAAATATTCCATAATCACATCAGGTATGCTCACTTTGCTTCTTAATGGATGTAAAGGACTTTTTATTAATCAGCAAAACCATGCTAAAAAAAATAATTGGGATAATTGGAAGTTAAAATTACCGTAAGTTAAACAATTTTAAAATTTCAATATAAAAATAAAAAGGTTTCAGATTAAATATCGAAAATTTAAAGTGCACAGTTGATGTAATAAAAAAGTCTTGGAAACTCCGAATTGATTTTTTAAGAATAATCATTGTACTCTATTACAATTCATATTCAGATGATTTTGATGCCATTATCAAGTCATAAAGCTGCATATCTTTCCATTCATAAAATAAAGCACATCTAATAATTTTACAATCAAAAATTTGAGTTCTCCGTATATTCTTATCATAATTACTTTTTGCTTTGTCTTAGCAAAGGATTTAACCCTAGTATCAGAAAATGTAAGTTTTAATCAAAGTAAACCAGATATAGTAATCTTTGAGCCAGACATTGGTGTTCAGTTCACAGCCTAGAACAGACATTTCCATAAACAAACCATGTTTCTTATTGCTGAGAATCAAATTCAGTATTAGGATAAGACAATGACCTAACACAAATTGACAAGTAATAGTATCTGGATTCACTAAAACTACATTCAAAATAGAAATGAAAATATTCGAAATGTTTAATATCCGAGTGCAACTAATAAAACTACCAATTAAAATGTCAACACAAAAAGTATTCCTAAACTAAAATATTTGAAAAATCAAATGTCCAAAGAAAAAAAAAAGAGAAAACTTTGTAAATGCAAAAGAAACAAAAATTAATTTGCAACTTAACCAAACTTGCATTTTAAATTTAAAAAATAGCTAGGTCAGTTGAATTTTTTGATGTTAAAAACTGATTTACGTTATACCATCTTAAGTTTGAATGCTTGCATTGGATTTCAACTAGTGATTTGATTGTGTGAAACTTGAATTTGATCTTGAATTTTCTAATATTCTTGAGACTGATTATGGTAATGGGGTGCAACATTATCAGTCATGTTGACAGAATTGTGCAAATCCAAGATAATGAAAAAAAAATTTTCAACTTCAGGAAATTTTACAAAATTTTTCAACTATTTTGCTGTTAACATGACAAATATAAAAGGAATAAATAAAATGAATCACCAAATGTAATAGAATAGTGCTGGATATAGCGCTAACTAACGTAAACAAGGACTATGCATAATTCTTGAAAAAATTTCTAATGTTTTTAATAAAATAAATAAATAAAAAGAATATTCATAATAAAGCAAATACAGATATAGTTCATATACCAAAATTGTGAAGTTACCACCCACCTGACAAGCTGAAATTATCTCATGAAAAACAAATGTACTATTTTTATTAATATTGTGGTTTAATAATAGAATTTATCATAAATTTTGTAAATACTTTAAACAATTCTTCATCAAGCAACAGTTGGAATGCAATCAAAATATATGCATTATGTAGCAAATTTATTTCAAATCATGTCTAAAATGCCTTCTGAAAAAATTATAGTATCCCTTTTTCAAAATTCCAATTCTTTATTCACATTACTGTATGCATCACACTACAGTACGTACCACACCATTGCATAACTGTTAAACAGATCCTTAAATGTTAGGTAAATACATTAAATTGGTTGCAAAATTAACCCAAACTACACTAAAGAATTTTTTAAAAATTTAGAGATTTTTTTCTTTTTTAATAAAAATGAGTTAACTTGAATATTGGTTAAATCAGTTAACCAGGATATTGGCTGAATAACTTTTAAGTTGAATCAGTTAACTGTTTTGGCAAGATTTCAGCATTGATTTTCATAATTTTGGTTTATACTTTTCCAATAAAAATTTTAAAACTGAATACATTTATAAACAATTTTGAACAAGGCATGAAAAAATATAATTTTTTACCATCATTTAATCCATAATATGCCAGAGAAGCATGAGATATATTTCCAGAATTTAAGGAAATAATGCCCGAATCACCAGGATTCACATACAAAAATTGTTCAGCACCAAGCACTTGATGTCTACAGCCTCCGCCTTTCAGATAATACCAATTTGGAAGAGACAATGCCATAATTAGCAATAAAATCAACATGGCACTAAATATGGCAGCAATTACATTTCTTTCACGCTCATTACTTGAACGAGCTGTTTGATTAACAAAATTAGCAGGTATAACTGAAAGCATGTTGCCACTCTTTTGAAGACCTTTAAAGAAAAGAAAAAAAAGAACATTAGAAATGGAAATAAATTTAAGTTAAGATATATTTCAACATTACAGAATAATATTTGAAGTTTTCTTTAAAAATCATTCCTAAAATTAATTTGAGAGCTTAATCTGATTTCTATTTGCATTTAGTTACCAAGAATTAAGAAATTGTCTCGGGTCCCACAAACCTAATGCTTCTAAAAAAAGATGTATAAAAATTAATTGATATTTCAGAGGCAATTGGGAAAAATTATTTAGTTTACTATGTTCATGGGAAATCAATATTATTCATTGTTAAAAATTACAAAATGTTACAATTAGAAAGTAAAATTTTTTTATATGGTTTTTGATAATTTTTAACAAGCTGTTTTTATACATAGTAAACTCCTGCAAATCCAGACTCTTGCCACCCAAATAGATAAATTCTTCATGAAAATTATAAATTAATCTCTTTAAATTATTAGTTATATAACTATAGAATAAACAACAGATCGATCAATAATATAAAAGAAACATTAAATATATATTTCAATTTAGGTGAGGACCATGCAAAATTTGATAAAATAAATTGACATAACCTTTTCTAGAACTAGAGTTATTAAAATGAATATATTGAAAATTAGAAAAGATATGATGCTTGCAAAAGAACAAACATAACAAAGATTTGAGCATAATCAAATATCAATAATGCCATCATGTTAAAATAAGATTTACAATTCATGAAAAACAAATCGTGATAAAGCATATCAGCAAAAGTATGTATCACATGCATGTTTGCAATTTGTCATATTGCTTTATCTTTTAAATTAGTTTTGTAATGTCAAAAAATGATTTGCATAACAATATAGCAACTTATACGCTCAAACACATTTTGAATCTTTCCACATTTAATGAATAAAATAGTGATATAATGATAGAGCACAGAATATTTAGTTTCCCCCTTTATAACATGGAAAAAAAAAAGAGTACTTCAATAACAGTTAAAATTAAGGATGAAAAGAATTTTTAGCAATATCAATAATCCATATCAGTTTAGCTTAGCAAGATTCTATTGAAAATAGGATCTTCTGCTCTTCATATAATTGAAGGTAAAAGATTTTGGAGCTAGACTGAAAGACTTTGGAGGTAGACAGATAATTTATCATATGGTACATTACAGTTTTTCATTTTCAAACAAAATAAATGTTTCAGAACAATATTTTCTAAAATAAGCTTTAGATAATTTTTTACAAACTGTTATTATAAATATACTATTTCATTTTAAGTATTTTAATAAAATATAGACAGATTTACTTATTCTATAGATCTGAATAACATAAGTTTATATAGATACTTAATGTAGTAGAATTGGGATAGGTGTATGTTGAATAATTTTTAGCCACTTATTTCAATTTTCTTTTACAAAAAATAATATAATTTTAATAATTTTTGGAGCAAGAACACAGTAAGGTTATAAAAGAACATATATTTGACAATATCTTATCGTTTGAGATGTATCTAACAAAAACATGAAACCTACTCTAACAGAGCTACAAAAATGTAGAACGTAAAAAATGCAAAAAAATTGAAATTACTAGGGTAAAAAAAGAAAAATCTGGTATGAAAGAAATACTATACTTGCTAATAATTTGTAACACTGTACAGTGGGCAAAATAAAAAAGGGACCACCCTGAATAACTATTGTTCTAATGATCGGATCTTCATATTCTGGGAACTCATTCTTAATGGTTCGACTGGATAACCTCAATTATGCTAACTAATTAGTGCAGACGATATTTTAAGTTACGGAATCAGATACAATATTTTACTTTCCTGGAATAAACATACTTATTTTAAAAAAAACAGATTCCGATTTCTGACCCCCAAAATATAGGGCAAAGTAGCAATCTGTGAAATATGGTCTCCATAGTTTAATCAGGAGAGAGATTCAAAGTTTGGATCCCCCTAATGTTAATTTTACTTTTCACATGTTTCGCCATATCTGGAGAACTTTTGAGTCAACTGAAAAAGTTTTGCACACAATCATAAAATATGTCTATCCACAGATAATTTCAAACAAACAATAAATTTTAGTAAATATTTATTATTTTTTAATAAATAATGGTTAAAAAAAATATAATATTGCAAGGCATAAATTCTTTTACATAATTTTAAAAAAAAAAAATTGCTAGTACCTTTCACGTCTTACTGACAGTAAGTAGTTGGCATAGATACAGAAATATCCCTTTTTTTTAAAATTGCAATTTAAGATTTTAACCCTTTTTTATAAAACAAAATCTGGTACAAAACATAGTACTAAGTAAAAATAGTAGAGTGGCCGTAATTCCAATGAAAAATGTAATATAATATCATTAAACTGCGAAAAAAACTGAGACTTTCAAAATTTTGTGCATTTTATTTTCAATGCAAGATACTATGGAAATAAAAATTATTAATATTAGAACGTATTTTTGGACTGTTTTTAATTTATCAAACTTAATTTTAATTCTCATTTATTTACTACTTCAAAGGAGGAAAACAAGCACCATTTATAATGCTATCACGTCTGTAATATACGTATCGGATAACTTCAACAATAAATAATAAGCGTAAGTTAAAGTTAATAACTTTAATAAGAGTACACAGTTGTAGCATACGTAAATTAAAATTTAGAAAAAATGACGTAAATTCAAACCGAGAGGGAAACTAAATGGATTATAAGCTATCAAGCGTGAAATAAAAACCTAGTTTTATCAAGAACAAATCTAAAAAACATTTTATTTAGAAAATGATCAGTGTTTTAAAATTACAAATAGCTTGTTTTGAAAGAAAGACTTTTCCTTACGATTAAGTATCTGCACTTATTACTTGGATATAGATACTAAAAAAGTGTGCCAAAAATATAACTTTCTAACACTTGACATTAGTAAAACAAATTATCACATCATGTTGTTTGATTTATAAGTGTTTTTATTTACTTTAAAGAAATAAACTTTACTACATAACTAATGTACACGTGAATAATATCTAACTATATGAAAGGCACCAATTATTTTGCAAAAGTAAATAAACAATTTAAAGAAATAAAAACAGTTGAGGTTACCGTTTAAATATAAGTTAATGAAGTTAATGCTCCTATAACATAGGCTACCAACGTCAACATGGTTGGTTTAATTTGAACACGATGTTCAAACTTGCCCGGCCTGTGTGCAAAAATTAAATAAAAAATTAGTAAATAAATAAAATAAAATAAAAACCAAACAAAAGGAAAAACTTATTTTTATATAGTGATAGAATTTAAACGACGTGCTACACTATTTTATGAAGAGTAGTCCCGCAGTAGACTGTTCGCTAAGACAGGGTTCCAAGCAGACCACCAAAGTTGCGGTCAGAGTGCGGGTGGGTGACCACTTTGATCAGCCTTCGAATAGCCCGATGGTGTGTGGTAATGCGTGTGTGGTCCACGTTAAACAGTTCCATAGTAAAGTGCTCAACTTCACTCTCAGATCGTCAGAGTACCAAAGCGGGGGTACCATTTCTTCTGCAGGAGGAAATTGGTAATGGCAAGTTTTCGAATCATCCTCAGAAAGGCTTCGCAAACAGCCGCCCATAACTCATTGAGCAGCTCTAGTGCGACGTAAATAATTCACAGCTATAACAACAACTAGAAGAATAAACTTTGAAATTACTAAATTAACATGAAATACCTGTTCCGCGACTGAAATGGGAAGTTTTCCCCCTCTTCTGAGGTGAGTCTCCGTCTTGAATTTACTTAGGTTGTTGTTGTTGTTGTTAATATACGTCGCACTAGAGCTGCACAATGGGCTATTGGTGACAGTCTGGGAAACATCCCGGAGGATGATCCGAAGACATGCCATCACAATTTTGATCCGCTGCGGAGGGGATGTCACCCCCGCTACGGTAGCCCGACGACCTACACGCGAAGTCGAGCACTTTACGGTAGCACAGTTTAACGAGGACCAATACCGCACACCCTCGGTCCAAGTGGTCACCCACCCGCACACTGACCGTAGCCAGTGATGCTTGACTTCGGTGATCTGCTGGGAACCGTGTCTTGAATTTACTTAGGAGAAGAGGGGGTTAGAAGAGGGACTTTACTCACTTCACAGGTGAAGAAACATGCTTCTAGAAACCTGTGGTCCTGGTCAGAAAAGTAAAAAGTGAGAAGGAGGGAAATAAAGCTTCATTTTTTTTATTTGCTTCCTTGGCGCGTTTCAAACGTAATAATTTATTAAGTATATATAGTTTTGGTAGGTAGGTAGGTACTTCATTTACGTCACTCTAGAGAAGCACAATGGGCAATTGGCGACGGTTTGGGAAACATCTGTTGTCAGGAGACATGCCATCGCAATTTTGATCGTCTGTGGAGGGGGTGGCTCCCCTGCTTTGGCAGCCCGACGACCTGTGCATGAAGTTGGGCACTTACGGTAGAACAGTTTAACGAAGACTGCTCACCTTCAGTCCCTACGCAGGGTGATGAAAGTGTTCACCCACCCGCTTACTGACCGTAACCAGTGATACTTGACTTCAGTGTTCTACAGGGAACCATGTCTTTACGATCAGTCCACTGCGGGACTATAAAGTTCTGTAATAAAATTATTTCAGAAAGCAAATGAATGATTATAAAATTTGTAAAGGGGACGTAGTTGGTCCCACCTGAGTTATCGAAGCTCTGGGGCTGTTCATTAAAAATGCTTCCCTTATTTTTTCAAAAATATTTTTCAATATCTTTTTTAGAATTCCCAATTCCCCTTCATGGCGCATTGAATAAATATATACTTACAAAACAGAAACAAAGCTCTCCGTTATAGATCATAATTTAATTTTTTTTTTATGTTTGAACCATGTAACTTAATAATAATTCAGAGAATACAAAACGAAGATAACAGTATTTTCCGCTTTTTGAAATATAAAAGTTGACAAAGTAAATTGACTTCGGTGATCTGCTGGGAACCGTGTCATAACGATCAGTCCACTGCGGGACTATTATATTCGTGACTACTCTTTCTGTACTACACTACATTAAAGAAATCTCTAAAGATCAAGACACTTCTTTAGCAGTGAAATCTATAACAAACGCAGTCTATAAAAAACTTCGTTCTTTTTTGACGATTTCAGTTTTATTTTCAATCTAGCTCTTATTTTTGGCGCGGATAAGAGATGATATTTTACCAACATTTTCCTGAACTGATATTGTATTCAAATTTCTGTCTTCGCTTTCTGAATTTATTAAGTCTGTTAGTATTATGGAATTGTCCTGCCTCTAACAACACCTCCTAGAAGAGAGAAGGCCTCCGCACGGATCAATTTACCAGTCAAAGGTAACGAACATATACTGTCGAGAGGATAGAAATAAGAAAGATGTCCCAACCTTCGGGATACGAAGCTGGGCAGTGGGGGGCATATGACAGGATGTTACTACTTTCAGACTACTAAATAATCAGATTTTTCGATTATGGAAACCCATGTGGAAGCCTTTGCTCTTCTAGGTAGTGTTGCCTCTAGATGCTTGTAGTGAAGTATTGCACCCAACTTATTTTTTATTCTGACTTAAATGAATCAAGTCGTTAGGATGAAAAATAGCAATGTTATAAAGGATTTAGGGAGTGTGAAATATGAAAAGTTTAATTTTGCAATATATACATATCCACAATTTTGAAACTTTTTACGCTGTTCTTCGAAGCTCTCGTCACCAAGGGAAAAAAAAAGCAGTAGTTTAAGTTCCTTGCACTTGAAACAATGAGTTGATTCTAAACTATATATATAATCTTGCCATGTAAATTATCTGAGCTTTCGAGCAGGCAAATAACTTAAATATTTTGAAAATTATGAAATTTTTTTCTTAAAAACATCCAATTTGGCGACATTTTTCCAACTAGATAAACATTATAAAAATCACTGCCTTATTCTCAGTATTTGCACATTTTTTTTTTTTTGCTTTTTTTTTGAGCCCAGGTAATGCAGTACTCCAATAAGTTTTTAAATATTAAAAAATTCGACCACAAAAGCTTTACATTTTTATAAAACTGTCCCCATATCGACGTTTTGAGCCATTTTCAAAATCAGCATAGACAGCGCTGGCATTAGATAAGCTGAACTTGATCTAACAGTCAGGAAAAACTGCTGGCATACTCCTACTGGCATGATGAGGCAATTTTGCTACTCCATTACAAAGACTCTCTCCACAGCTTAAATCCCAGCTTTACTGGACTCTTTTGGCTGGGAAGTTTTGTACCACCCTGCAATACAGCCCAGACCTTGAGCTAAGTTATTTTCATGTTTTTTGATATTTCAAACTGCCCTTACGTAAAAAACAGCCCTCGTATATATATATGTAAATTAAAATTTAGAAAAAATGACGTAAATTCAAACCGAGAGGGAAACTAAATGGATTATAAGCTATCAAGCGTGAAATAAAAACCTAGTTTTATCAAGAACAAATCTAAAAAACATTTTATTTAGAAAATGATCAGTGTTTTAAAATTACAAATAGCTTGTTTTGAAAGAAAGACTTTTCCTTACGATTAAGTATCTGCACTTATTACTTGGATATAGATACTAAAAAAGTGTGCCAAAAATATAACTTTCTAACACTTGACATTAGTAAAACAAATTATCACATCATGTTGTTTGATTTATAAGTGTTTTTATNGATGAATCGTGTGAGCTGATGAAAAGATTATATCTTTTATTTTCCGGTTTTTTTAAAAAATATCATCCTTTTTTTTTTAATCAGTTGTTTGTTATTTTTTTTTTCATTATTACTCCACCCCCCTTTTTCATATGTCTATAATTTTTCTTCATTTTATCTTCATTTTGAACTTATCTAATGAGTTCTGTTTACTTGCAGCTTATGCGCAATAAATGAAACTTATTGTTTTTCCTCACTTTCTTCGTGTTTCGTCTTCCTACCGAAGAGGGGGTGCCATCCCCTCTGAAAAGGATCAAAATTGTGATGGCATGTCTTCGGATCATCCTCATGGATGTTTCCCAGACCGTCGCCAATAGCCCATTGTGCCGCTGTAGTGCGACGTAAATGAACTACGACAACAACCGTCTACTACCGAGGATATTTTACATTTGGCTGGCTTTGATAGTACTGTGGTCGGTGCGAGCCGGAGCAGATTTGAACCTGGGTCATCTCATTGGGAAGCGTAAGCTCTATCCCCTAAGCCACCGTGGCTCAAGTAAGACATTATTTATCATCAGACGTTGATGTAACTACATACTAATAATTCTCCAGCATATAGTTTTTAAATAAACTACATTACGTGATGCAATAAAAAATGTGAACATAACTGAAAAATTTTGTTGACATAACTGAAAAACTAATGATCACGTATTTAAATTTTATTAAGGATGGGCTACAGCCCTGTTCGGCAGCCCGCACGGTTATTATTTGCTAAGACTCGGAACTGTTTGCTTAGTTCTTTTCAGAATACTTTGTTGGTACATCTCGCATGTCCTAAAATTAAAATCATATACAATCATAACTGCGCTTGGTTTCCCTTTTACTTAGAAAGATCCGAAAAACCGTCGATATGAACAATTGGATTATTTTATTATTAGTTTTTCTATTACATCGAAAAATCCAAAACGTCTGTATAAACTATTGGATTATTTTATTATTAGTTTTTCTTTTACGTCAAAAAAATCCGAAAAACCGTCGATATAGACTATTCGATTATTTTTTAATTAATTTTTTTTACATCGAAAAATCCGAAAAACCGTCGATATAAACTATTCGATTATTTTTTAATTAATTTTTTTTACATCGAAAAATCCGAAAAACCGTCGATATGAACTATGGATTATTTAAAACAATTCGAAATTTAAACAAAATGAAACGCTTTATCATTTACAGACATAAGAGTACGATGAGGGGGAAATGTACAAAATTCCATTTTGTTTCATCAAATATGATTTGAGTAATGACAGTGAGAAGCAATTTCGACGAAAATTTTCCTTAGGATTTCTTTCAAGGTCAACAATGCGTTAATTTTTAATATCAAAATTTTTATCTATCATTTCTGAATTGTTCTCCATTTTGTGTAATAATTTTTTGTTAAATTATACAAGCCATTAAAAAGTTCTTTTGCAGATTTTGATGTATTATTAACGTAAATCATGTTAATTGGTATAAAATCTTTAAATGTTTGGGTCTCTTTATTAGTCAACAATGTGTTAATTTTTAAATTTAATTTTTAATTTATCATTTCTGAACCAATCTCCATTTTATGTAATAATTATTTGTTAAAGTTTTCAAGTTATTAAAAAGTTCTTTTGCAGCTTTTGATGTATTATTAATGAGTATAGTTAAGATAAAAGGATAAAAAGCGAGCAGCAATAAAGGAAAGAATGGCCCATCGTAAAAGATACTGCAGTAACCGCTAAAAGTGCCAATAAAAAAGTCAAGTCTAGCGGTCGTTTTTTATGTTTCTTTAAGCCCAACAAATTTGCAGAAAAGAAAACTCTTATATCACATCTTATTGAATAAATATATTTCAGACAAAATTATCTAGATATTAGTGTTTAGGTCTTATATTAATTTTCCATCTCAGCAAAAATAAATGAAAACTAACAAAATGTTAAAAGATGTAAATTTCTGTCAATTTTTAAGCTCTTAGCGAAACATTTTGTGGTATATTTTTCGTTAGTCGGGATCAAAAATGGTATTGATCAGACATCACTAAGTTTCGAACTTCTTCCTATGGATGTTTATCCTTAGGCGTATCGTAGGAGGGCACATGGGGGGTATGTGCCCTCCGACGATACGAACTATTGGACCTTCGATAAATTTCTAAAGCTTCAGTGTTAAGTTATTTTTTATTAACGAAAAGTTAATAATTTAGATATAATTTAACGAAATAATTCCATTATAATCATTTTCATGCTACTGATGGCTATCATAAAAACCAGATAATTTTTTTAAAAAATATGTTCCAATTTGAACTTTATGTTTTCAATGAAACAAAATTTAATCATTATTGTTCTTTTATATTTGTAGGAAGCAATTATTTTGTTTAATTCATGCGCTATATCATGTTTTTTATAATAACGATTTCCTTTATTAAGAGTAAAAATTTTAACGAAACTTTTCAATACTGTCAAACAGTTATAAATCGTTTTTTTAAATTTATTTACTATTTTTTTATTTATCTAATCGTGCTGACACTTTTAAAGAGGTTGGCTTAATTATCCTTTTTCTACAAGTTTCACCATATAATTCGTTACCGTTTTGTTAAAATTTTTGCTGAAAGTGGAGCAGTTGGTTTCTGGTTATGCTTAATATTCTTAAAATTTTTTTACTAATAAATGAATTTATTTAATAAATTTTTGCTAATATATATAAAATGCTAATAAATAAATGCAAGCTACCCCTTTATTTATTATTAATTCGATTTAAAACTTAAGACGCGCTTCAACAGAATGAGTCTTTAACTATTTTATTTGATTATCAAATAACTTTTGAAAATTTGGCACTGATGGCACCAAATTCATACAAATATTAAAAAGTAATAGAATACACTGGGAAACTATTCTTTTTTGTTGCATGAGATTTATTAACGGATCTTATACAGTTTTGCAATGCTAATTTAAAATCTGCAATCGGTTTCTTTCTACAAGCTATAGTTCTTATGTAATTTAATAATACAGTCCAAACCACTGCACTTGGCTAGGCAGTGGACATGTAAAAACAGCTATTTTTTTTCCGACAAAAATGAGATGAGCTTAGCTGAAAAAGGTTCTAAGTGATATTTTTGTGATCACAGTAACATCAGTTTTAGAAAATATATTTACAAAAAAATTTATTTCCTTTAAATACAGTTTTCTTCTTTAATGATCTGACGTAAATAGAAAGAGCTGACTATAACGCGTTTTTATACCCAGAATTTTGCGCATTTTTAGAATATTTATTATTTTCTTCTACTAAATTTTTTACGTAATTTAGTGGCTGGTGCGGCCTTCTCCAGAGCATATTTCCATTTTGTCCTGTTTGATTCCAATATTTAGTTTTAAGTATTTCCAGATTTTTTTCAACGCAGTTAATAGGTAGTAGCTTTTGTCTTTTTCCAATTTGTACACGAAATGGGTTAGGCTAAAAAATGTCTTTTGACACTTATATTTTCTTTCATCCTAATGAGGAACTAAAGCTTAAACATCCATCAAACTATCCATTCAAATAAATTAAGAAACTTAGAGATACTTAATGGTATAAAATTTCATTTGCTTCAAGCCACTTCGAGTGCTCAAAAATAGGTGCTCATTCTGAAGATTCACCAGACGTGAATGAAGAAGGTAAAAATGATTTTAATGAAAAACCGTAAAGTTACCTACGAAAAAAATTGGAAAATAAAGATGAAAAACGAAACCAGAAGAACCGCAGTAGATGAGATTGAAGCATAAAAAGAAAAAGGAGAATAAAAGGGGAAAAAATAAAACTAGAAAAACCGCAGTGGCCGAAAGAGGCAATTCGAAGTAAAATATATATCTACGTGCTATGTAGAGGGGATGAGGAGATCATATCTTTAACAAGGGGATAGTCAAGGCGTGTCTTAAACACAAATTCTTTAAACGATTCCATGGCTAAACGAAATGAGTTTCTCACCACCTCTCCATAGCATATGGATATGCATTTTGCCCCGATTAGCTTGTTTGTTTACCTTTATTTACCATATTTTGTCGCAACTTTACGTTTCTTGTTTCAAATCCTTTTTGTTTTCCTCATTAACGTTAGGCGAGTCTTGAGAATGGGCGCCTAATTTTGAGAGTTCAAAACACGTCGACTTTAATTGCCATCTTCATATTTTCTTAAGCAAATGAAGTTTTATATCGTCAAGTGCCTTTCCGCTTTCTTGGGATTATTCATTTAAAAGTTGAAGATGTTCTTTAGATCGTTCAAAGTTAAAATAAGCAAAAGATAGTATTTTACAACATTTGGGTTGCAATAGTAATTACGCGTGTGTAATGTCTACACCAATTTAATATATAAATATATATATATATATATACATATGTGTGTGTGTGTGTGTGTGTAACAAAAGCAAACTAAAAAACAAGCAGAAATGTTTAAAAAAAATGTCATATTATCTAATTAAAGAGAGGAGCATTCGAAGTAAAAAAAATATTAGAAAACGTTTACTAACACTGGAAACAAAATTTTAATAACAAAAAACGAGTAAACGGTACAAACAATAGCAGCAACTTCTGCTATAATTTAACAGAAAATATATACTAATTAAAAATAAATAATCGCATCACAGTTTACAATACTTCGAGTAAAACTTTTAGCTAGAAAAAGGAAATGTTCAAAACATTCAAACCACGTAAATGTATTCCATCATCTCTTAGATATGAATTCGGGTGGAACATAGGATGAACCACATGATCGACACCTGGGGTGAAACTCATCTTTCTTCGGTATATGCCAGCATGAAGCACATCTCATTTTATACTTTTTGTATCTAACAAGAAAAAAGTGTTACAAATTAAGTTATGGTGAAACAATATATAGATTTCGCTTTGATTGGATAGATATAAATGATTGAAAATGCAATTTTGAACCAAAAGATTAATAAAGAATTACCGAAATTTCCCTAAATTCGCAATAAATCATACACTTGGTAGATAGGTATAGTGCGGTTTTCAGGAGAACTTCTCCAGACACCCGTCTCGCGTCGTGCGGGTACTATGGTTACGAGGAAAGGTCATTTCGAATAGGGGTGTGGGGTGAATAGTTTTGTCTTAATCTTAAAGTAGGTCGTCCTGAGTAAACCAATTGACACTTTCTTTCCTCCATTTCACCCCCATTAGGAATGTGCTCTCGCTTGTTACCATAGCAGCAGACAGCCCAGCCCCAGACTTTCAATCTGGAGGAGTTCTTCTCAAAGCAGCACTATAGGTACTTAATTTCGCGTCGCACTAGAAATGCAAAATAGGCTATTATCGACGGTCTGGGAAACATCCCTGAAGATGATTCGAGAACAAGCCATCACAATTTTGATCCTCTGCTCCCCTGCTTTGGTAGGGCGATGACCTGCGCTCGAAGTCGAACACTTTACGAGGACCGATATCTCACACCCTCAGTCCCTACGCAGGCTGTTCAAAGTGGTCACCCACAAGCTTTCTGACCACAGCCAGTGATGCTTGACTTCGGTGTTCGATTGGGAACAATGTCTTTACGATCAGTTCACTGCGGGACTATAATACAGTTGGAACAGTCACGGTTAAGTAATAAAAAAAATTATCGGTATGCTTTTTATTCTGAACACAGCTGAAAAGGCGTGTTTAAGAAAACAGCTCAAAACGCATGTTTAAGAATATAAACATATTTAAGAAAATGGAAACGGCTCAAAATGCGTGTTGAAAAAAAAATGAAGTTAGTTTGAAATGTGTGTTGGAAAGAATGCTAACATGGAAAGACGCGTGTTAAACAAAATTGACATCCCACACAAAGTGCCATCTAAAAGGTCAACCCAAGTTTAACAGCTTAACTAAAAATTTCGTAATTACTTTTCCTTACATTTTTAAACACTAAGCCTAATCATTACGGGGCAAGTCCCAGTTCTTCGCGTTGGGGTGGCTTGATATATGACAGAAAAAACTTTTCAGGTGATCTCTTTGTAATCAGAACACTAAACAATAATGCGGTTTTTAAAAATCTAAATCAACGTAAATCTAGCAACCACTATTATAAATAGATAGTACTTGCGACAACCTTGTAAAAACAACTGTTGTTTAAAGTCATTTTAAAAAAGACTAATTAAAAAAAGAATATTAAGTGGTTTAGGCTAATAGACAACATCATATGGCGAATTTGGATTCATTAGTTAATCTTTAACTAAGAATTTTTATAAGAAATGTTTGCATAAAGGAATAAAGTGCTATTGCTATATTAGTGGTATATAAGTTTATGCTTTAATGTATTATTCTTTCCATTAAAAGTTTAAGGTTATTTTTCACACCACTACTGGAAATGATTCAAAAACTTACATAAAAAGCCACTTGCTTCATACCCTCTCGTTGTCAAGCTTTTAAAACGCTAGCCAAGTTACCGAAGATTATGAAAGTTTTAGATTTTAATTGTGTACCACTCAATAAAGTATTTTTCAAAAAGCTCTGCCTCTACCTTAAAAATTCGTTTGATTTCTAGCAGACTTGCTGGTATGGCAAGTCGCATAAGCAACTACAATAGTTAAATTTTTTTTAATTTTTTGTTCTTTGTAATTTTTCTTCGTAACTTGCTTGCTTATTAAATATGATAATTTACGTGAAAAATCAAATCTGCAGCACTCGCTGACGATCTGGTGCTGGGTTTCTGCTGCCAGGTTTATAATAAATATCATATTCAATATTAAGTGCCTTAAATATTAAAAAAAAATTGAAACCAAGATTTTATGTTACATTTCGCGCTATTTCTTGTTAGTGAGGGGAAATTTGATCATTCGAATTTTTTTTTGTGCGTTGTTTACAGTGCGACACATTGTTTTCAACTCAAATTATTAGAAACTTTAAATGTTGATATTCACCTTATACCGCATGCATTGCACAATGGCGTTCCATCTTCAGCATCTCTCCAAAGAGGTGTTTTTTTGACACTGCATGAAGCACAATGTTTCTCTGTAAAATTTCCAGATTGTTTATTCGCGAGCCACAAATGCTCTAAAATAGTTAAAAATTATTATTATAATATCTATAAATATCATTTTAAACTTATATAAAATACAATATAGCTGACCATTTTTTAAAAGATTTTGATGCTAAGCATTAAGCGAAAAACGGTAAATTTGGTATGACCAAAAATTAAACAAGTGTTCAATGAGCCGTGAGAGGATGGGGCATTCGCCTTCCAATGAGGTGAACCGGGTTCAAATCCCAGCTGTAGCTCGTCTGTAGGAAGTCCGCATCCGGCTTACACCGACCACAGCGCGGACATAAGATATCTTCTGTGGTAGACGGATTATGGGTTAGAGTCCCCTTGCCGTCAGGCAAACCGCGAGAGGTTTTCGTGGTTTTTTTCTCTCAATGTAACGAAATTAAGGGTTAGTTCCATCAAAAAGTCCTCCACAAAGGCAAATTTCTCCTAAAACTTGATTCAAAAGCTCCAAAGTCTTCTGGATTGGGTTCAAAATTACAAGGTACTAGAGTTAAACATTAGTAGTCGTAAACCCAAAAAATTGGGTCGGCTGCTCAACGATGGTAATAAAATTTAAAATAAAATATAATTCCAAGATAAATTGAAGATAAGTTTTTATGTATATCGTAAAAAGTCAAACTTCCGTATACGATACGAATTCTGCATCCGGCGTGCACCGACCATAGTGCTGACGTGAAATATCCTCAGTGTTAGACGGATCATGGGTTAGAGTCCCCTTGACGTCAGGCTAACCGTGGGAGGTTCTCGTGGTCTTCCTCTCCATGTAACGCAAATGCGGGTTAGCTCCATCAAAAAGTCCTCCACGAAGGCAAATTTCTTCTAATACTCGATCCAGGAGTTCCCTTGTCTTCTGGATTGGGTTCAAAATTACAAGGCTACGGAGTTGAACATTAGTAGTCGTAAACCCATAAAATTGGGTCGACTGTTCAACGACGGTTATAAAATAAAACTTCCGTATAAAGCCGTGATGGCTCAAGGGATAGAGCGTTCGCTTTCCAATGAGGTGAACCGGGTTCGAGTTCCAGAGATGGCTGGTTGATACGAATCCCTCAATTTTCCATAGATTTGAATTTTCCTTCATTAAAACAAAGAGATAGCAGCAATATCAGTCATTTGGGTCCAACTGATTAAGTCAGCCGGTTGCGATATCGCAGTGGTTAAGGCAATAGACTATCATTGTGAAGAACTGGGGTTCGATCCACAGTGGCGGCTTGAAGCTAAACGAGATTTAGACAGATGGGTAACAGCTTATCTAGGAAGTAAAGGTAGCCCGTGCGTAATGCTTGCCACAATTATGCCGTTGGTCACAAAATTGTGGATCTCTTACCTCCATGATCTCTCTGGCCCAAACGGGCTGTTATGGGAGTGATTTTTATAATTAAGTTGAGAGAGTGATAGAAAATTCGCATCGCTTAATGTTGATTTCACTTTTTTTTGCAAACTCATATCTCGGAAGTGTTTTAAGCTACATAGATAATTCTTGCACACATATATTAAACTCAATTATCCTATAATTCCGTTTAACGAAACAATTTTTTTTATTTATTTATAATATTAGCGAAAAATTTTGAATATCAAATAGCAAATTTTTATGTCATTTTAAATTATTTAATTTTTTTAAAAAACTCGGTAAAATAGTATCTGAGTAATAAAATTTCTGAAAGGCTGTATTTTTAAATTTTCATTCCACGATAATAATTTTAACAAATTTAGTATAGTGTTTTTTTCCCATTATAATTGCATAGTGTAAAGTTATGTAATTTTTTTTTTACCATTCAATACTAAAATATTTCACTTTTTTTATAATAATTAATTAAAAGCAAGAAATTATTGTTACAAATATTTCTGCTGGGAAATTGTCTTTAGATAAAAGAACTTTATCTAAAGTTCAAAAAGTAGTGTGCAAAAGCTAATTCTAAGGTAAATCGGAAGTCGTTACGGTCCTTCAAAGGAAGGCATTGGCCCACATTGGGCCGTCTGGTCAAATATGATGACGATGAAAAAGCTTTGATTTCATACTGCAAAACCCTATGGCAGAATATTTTCGAGCTTTCTGCGACATACCTCTCTAATACTAATATCTTTCTGCAAGATACTTTTAAAAATAACAAATATACATGTTACTAAATTAAAATTACAAAAGCATCAACTTTTCGGATCAAATAAAATAATTTAATTAAAAATGTAATATATTTTTTATTCTAATATTATGGGTGATATTCTCGCATTTTTTGGGGGGAAAACACACTAATTTCCTTTTCCGCATTTTGTAAATCATCATCACATCATTAAAAAAAAAATCGTGAAATCCGTAGCAGTAAATCGATCGCTTCAAAAAAGGGTTACTAAATACGTTTTTTTATTTCGAAATTCAGTTGTCGTAATAAATAATATCCCATTAAAAATATCGTATTTTGAAACTACAGTGCACTCCCTATTATCCGGGTTAATCGTAGGGACAGGTCGCACGGACAATCGAAAAACACGGATAAACCAAAAACTCCTTTTATTAAAGAAAAAGTCAATATCAATACAAAAAATATAAAAATTACTGACATTTGCATGCTGTATAACATCAAACTAGGAATTTTCCTTTGAAAAAAATGTGTAATGCTCCATATATTGTCACATATTTTACGAACCGCATTAATGTCACCGTAATCAAATACTCCCATGTAATCTAATAAAGTTTCCACAGAGCAGCAGAATGAGAAATTGTATTTCCCTCATTTACTACATCTTCTGCATCAGTTACTATCATCATTATTTGATTTAACAACATAACGATGTCTTCATCTGTCAAATACTGAAAGTCAAGCTCACATGCATCATTTTGAAACCAATCTTCTAAATTTCCTTCATCAGGAATTTCGAAACCTTCGATTTCTTTTGCTTGTTTAAGAATACTATTATCATATTCTTCTTGAGTATCTAAGGAAGATTGTTCAACAAGGGGTATCATCTTTCTCCACGATCATGATAACGTAGACGATTTTACCTTTGACAATGTTGCTAATATTCTATATACTGCAATCCAATAACGAATATTGCTTCCAAAAATAGGATAGTGATACAACTAATTTTTAAATCTTGAAAATGTTTCTGTTTAAATTTTTTTTTGACTCCGGTATAAGCACGGATAATCCGCACGCGGATAATCGAGAGTGTACTGTAGTTTGTTTTAAATGCTTATAACTTTTTTCTACGTATCAACCAATTTCGAATAATTGAATCGGAATTAGAGAAGGAAATGCTTATCTAGCTTGTTTACTGACGTGATTTGAAACCAGAAACGAAAGAATATCTATTCTCCTTATTAATTGACAAAACTGGCACGAAGTTGAAGAAAGGAGAAGAATTGTCTTAAATAACCTACGCTTCACTCCGTATCCAAAAACAATGTCGTTAATGTTGCGCGCCTAATTTTTTCTTTTCCATTTATCATCTGCACATACTGTTTTTTTTAAATAACTAAAGCTCAGTTTTATAAATTACTTACACAAATGAATTTATGTTAATTAAATAGAAACAATCAAGAGCAAATATATATATATATATATATATATATATATATAACGTAAAAAGCTTCAATTAATTTCTTTATGTTAGTTCTTTTCTGTAAATCCTTTTATTTTATTTCATTATTCTAAATGAAATGCTTTCTCTCACTTTTAATTTCACATCCCGCCCTTAAATCTATTTTTG